GGGAAGGGAAGGGAAGGGAAGGGAAGGGAAGGGAAGGGAAGGGAAGGGAAGGGAAGGGAAGGGAAGGGAAGGGGAGTTAGAAGGGTAGAGCTAGAGCACTGATTGAGCAGCCACAACTGGTGAAGAATAGAAGATTTTGGGCATGTGAAGCTGTTCTGATTTCAACAACAATTTGTCACATGGCCTTCCCCGAGTGACTAATCCCATCTGCTTCACTTTCCTCATCGGACAATAGGTATTTCCTTCTCCKAATGACGGGAGGATTGTGATTAAAATCAGAGTGCCAAAGAGAAAGCAATTTTATTTCACGCATTTCCCAGCAGTAAAAAGGCCACGTGGCTCTGGATTATGCGGATTCAAGCAAATAAATAATTATGTGSTCAAACAAAAGTTTTAGCTGGTTACCATAGGAACCACTACACATCCTCAGGAGGGCAATGAGGGGCAACTGAATCCTCCCGTATCTAAAGGAAGGAAGACGCCCTGCGCATGAAGAGCAGCGGTGTCAGGGCTGCTCACGGYCGCTCCTCAGCGCCGCTGCTGCAGGGTTTGCCATCCCGCAAACCGCAGTGGTAACTGTCCTCCCCGCACCCCTGCGTGCTGCCGCTTTCTGCTTGCAGGGGCCTCTGCACACGCAGGTTCAGCCACTCACACGTGCACCGCCCTGCAGGGTTTAACAATTGGCTTTACGAAGGCTTTTTCTTCCGTATGTTTTTCCCTTGTGGATGTGTCTTACTTTGTACTGCTCCCGTGCAAGGGAGGGCTGGTTCATCCAAGAGCGTCACCATCCGCTAGCATGAGGAAGCAGCGCGGAACTCCTGGAGGGCCGCRTGTCCGAAGGGATGGGGCAGCACGTGGAAGCTCTTAGCAGCATAAATGGCCTGTCACTGTCCCCTCTGCCACCCTAAAAATTCTGTTTTCTCTCCCCAAACCATGTCCTGGGAGCTGCTAGGGCTCCTAGGAAGCCGAATCCCTGCTGAGAACGCAGGAATGAGAACGATGTCTGAATACATGTGTCACCAGACACACAAACGCTCGGGCTGCAAGAACCTCTACATCTTTTTCCTGAGTTGAATGGGGAGCAAATCTTTCTCCTTAAACTTACRATGTTTGCTGTGCTCCCGGTTTGCAGAGGCGCCGGAGCCGCCCCGGGCAGGGCTGGCACTGCAGACTGGTCAGCTAAGGTGAGTGGTGCAGAGCAGGAGCCCTGAGCTCAGCGGCTGCTGAGTCACCCTGCCCGGCTGCACCTCTGCTGAGTCATCCGCCCTTGGAGGGCACCAGGGAACAACCCGCGCTGCATCCTCCACGGCRACACCGCTTAAATCAGGTTATTTTTAACCGCCCTTTAAGTAATGTTGATTTGATATGATGCTTATGTTCTTCTTCAATGTATGGAAGATAATTTTKGGGAATAACGGCAGAAAGGGCAGGGCGGACTTGGCAGGTTTACAACCAGTTTTTAGCCCTGTTTTTCTGCTACAAACACCCTATTGCCCATCCTCACCCCCATCCTCATCCTCGCGGCCCATCAGYGCTGCAAATCACTCCCTCCGCGGCCCAATCCCGCACGACCGGTGCAAGCCAAGGAGCTAATGCGCTCAGAAGCAGCCCAAAAAGCAGGGATTGCTTTTTGTGTGGGACACAGCGAGGAATACAGGGAATTAACGAGGACGAGCGGACATCGGAAAGCGACGGCCCGAGGCCGCGGCCAGGGCAGCGCTGAGGGGCTCCTCTTGCCGCCTTCGCCGCCACTCTCGCGAGAGCGGGCGCGGCGGAAGTGACGCGCGGGAGGGGGGYGGGCCACGTGATGCGGGCGCGGGCGGTCTGAACGGCGGAGCGGGCAGGTGAGGCGGCGTCGCGCGGGTCTCCATGGCAACGGGCTGGCCCGCTCCCGCTCCCGGTCCCGGTCCCGGTTCTACCCGATGCGGTTCGGGAGGGCGGGCGCAGCCAGGGGGGTTGCGAGGGAAGTGGCCCCGTTCGGTACCGGCCTGTGAGGGCTCGGGGCGGCCGGGCCCAGCGGGGCGGGTTGGCGCTGCCGGTGCCGCCCCCGCCGCGGTACCGCGGCCCGTGCTGCGCTGCCGAGGCGCCGCTGGGCCCGCGTCACCGGCGCGCGCCGCCTCTCCCGCGCCTCGCAGGCACCATGCCCAGGATCACCGTGAGCGGCGTCCCCGTGGACTTCCCCTTCCAGCCCTACAAGTGCCAGGAGACCTACATGGCCAAGGTGCTCGAGTGCCTGCAGAGGGTGAGTGCTGGAGCGGCCCCTTCCCGCCGCTCAGCTCGACTCCCTGCCTGCCTGCAGTGAGATCCGCAGCTGCTTCCTGGCCAGGCGCCTTCTAGGCCGTTTATTACACACGTCTCTTCAGGCTGAGGAAAGGGATTCCCTTAACAAGATTAACGGGATTCCCTTAACAATTCCCTTAACAATTGTAACAAGAGCTTACAATTCCATCTTACTTTTCTTTGTCTCTATCCTGCTTTTTTTTCCCCCCAATTCTCTCTGACATTTTTTTTTCTTTTTTAGCATGTAGGTATTAAAAACGCACACATATGCAAGTGTTCTACCTCTAAGTAGAAATACAGAATAGGATTTTTTATCCTAACTTGGGAAAAGGAAGAAAAAATGAGGAAGCGGTTCTTATGTCCATGCAGTGTCCTTAGGTGTTTCRATTTTGTACCGTTAGTGAATTGTGCTATTAGTGTAAGTTGCCATTTTATCTATGATAAAGTAATCTCGCCAAATGACCAGCCAAGAAAGAACTGTTTGTACAATARTTATTTTTGTTCTGGAATTGGTGAATAGCATCTCCAAGATCCCTCTTTCTTCTGAGAGAGGAAATGTGGCCTTCCATGATAGCCCAGCCTTCCAGGCTCTTAAGCAGTGTCCTAATTCATGCTTAGTATCTTTTTGTATCGTAGTAAAAATTTTATAAGCATATYTAGAGATAAATCATGTTTAAGTGCATTAAAAGAATTTGTCACAGCTGTGCAAGCTCACCTGTTACTTGTTGTAAAAACACTTGGAAATTACAAGGTGCGGCAGGATCCAATGTTTAAAAACAGACCCGTTGGCAAAATTTTCTGCCAAAGCTGTGTCTGGATTTTGTCTTGTGAGATATAGTTGTCATTCTAAATAAAATAAACATTCCATAAGAACCATTTTCTCTCTTTTTTTTTCTGCAGTTAACACAGCAGACTTTTGCTGTCTTACACAGCTGTCTTTTGCTGAACTGTGATGCATTCTGCTTACCTTAAGAAAGGAAAATTCCTCTGTTAAAGGAAGGATGTTGTTGTCTCTGGATTTTAGCTTATATTTCACTGAGCTGCTTAGTGAAACTTTGCTTGGGTCCTATAGGTAAAAACTTTGTGGAATGTGTTTGTTTCTGTCCTATAATATAGTTTATTATATAGYGAATACTTTTTTGCTGAGAAAATGCTGTGCTGCACAGTGATGTATTCTTACTGAATATTGAAATAACTATTTATTTTTTCTTCAATAAAGAAGGTAAATGGCATTCTGGAGAGCCCAACGGGGACAGGGAAGACCCTGTGCCTCCTGTGTTCCACTTTGGCCTGGCGGGAACACTTTAAGGATACAATCTCAGCCCGCAAAATTGCACAGCGCATGAACGGAGTGGAGCTCTTTCCTGACAGGCCTATGTCATCCTGGGGCAGCGCTGCTGGGGATGCTGATGTCCCAGGTACGTGCCTTGTATCRCTCCCGCTGAGAATAAGAATCTGGAAAGATAATAAATGCTTTGGATTTAACCGTCTCTTATGAGTATGTAATCATAACAAATGTGGGGACATTGTTTAACATCGTTTCATACATAAAGCACCCATAAAATCTATAAAATAGTATCTTTAATTTTCTTGGAACATTAGAAATCTACATAGCTTGTTTCTTGTGTGTAACTAGTCAGATGGAAATTTTCTTTTTGCTGTCTGTACAAAGCAAATCGTTACTGYAGTACCAAAGAGAAGGAAGGCTAATAATATTTTCAGTTCTTTCTGTGTTAAAAATGTCTTCCTTTTTTCTCCCCCACCTCTATRTGGCAGCTTATTACACAGACATTCCTAAAATAATCTATGCCTCCAGAACTCACTCGCAGCTTACGCAGGTCATTAATGAATTAAAGAACACAGTCTACAGGTATGTAATATTATGATAATAATGTGAATAGAGTATGCGGTTCCTTGAGCACTACTGTTTTGTGAAGCTTCTGCAGATATAGCCCTGTAATCAGCAAAAAAGTATTGTGAGTGACTGTAGTGCACTGATTCTTGTCATAATAGTAGTTTAAAAAGTATTCACACATGCCAAATAGTCACCTTGTGATGGGTGASAGCATCCAGATTATTTGGCTAAACCATCATCAGAGATTACAGATTTCATAATGGATGATGAAAGCTGCTACTCACAGCTCTCCACAGTAAACTACTGCTCGATACTGCTTTTGTTACTAGAGGAAAGAACACAATAAAGTCAAAGAATATGTAGCTGTTACACACAGGGCAATTTACTTGCTAGTTCTGATTTCCATTCTTCTTTTGGTGCTCGGCCTTGTGAACCTTTTGCATTTGACATATAGTGCCCAAGTTACTCAYGTTAAAAATAAGAAAGAAAAATACAGTTGCACATCAGCATTGCATGTTCTGTTTGTACAGGCCGAAGATATGTGTTTTAGGTTCCAGAGAGCAGCTTTGCATCAACCCTGAAGTGAAGCGACAGGAGAGCAACCACGTGCAGGTGAGACSCCAGCCTTGCAAGTATGGAGAGCGTGGAAAAGCAATTGTTTTGTGTTCGTGTATGGTGTGTAGCTTTTAACTCTGGCATTACATTTTGCTACCGAAGATATTAATTTACTGTGAAAGATATTAATTTACTATGTGTTTTGAAGTACGGGTATAGTTTTTGTCTTTGGTAACACCTATCAGCCAGAGAGCAATATAATTATGTAGAGCATGAAAATTAAATTAATAGCTTGCAGTCTGCCACTCAAGTGCTTTTCAAGGGCAATAGTTGATTGCTTTAAAATCATGCTTCTGTGATTAATATTAGTAGTAAAAACAACAGGTATATCAAAGATTACTCTTCTGAAAATATTAGTGGCAAAATAGAACAACATTTCCTCTTCCCATGTTGAGTGTTCTGTGCTGTGTAAGTATGTGACCTTTAGGTGGACACAAGGATATGTGATTTTGAAGCTAAAAAACTGATTACCATTTATTCATTTTCTAGTGTTGAAAAATTGATAGTTCTTTGCTCAGCTCACCTTTTAGTGCTTGAGAATCTGTGCTACTTTACTGAAATGTACTATACTTTCTAGATTTACATGTGCCGAATGAAAGTGATGGCTCGTGCTTGTCATTTCTATAACAATGTGGAAGGTGAGTTTGGCTGCAAGAATAATGCCCTTCTCTTTGGAAAGGGAGATATTTGAGAGAGAGACAAAGAAGATTAAAAGAGCTGCCAGAACCCGCTTCTGTGTGTTTATTYCATATCTGTCTTCATATATGTGTGAAATTTTCCTCCCAATTAGATTCCAATCTTGAACAGTTTGAAGTTAAACATCAAGTGGACRGAGGTATTATTTGGGAGAAGGGACACTGTTGACACAAGAACAGCTGGGGTTAACTTAGCCATGAAAAAATTAGATTCAGTGTGATGAGAAGGTTCTGAATTATTAGAGACATGAGGTGTTTTGTGGGTGTGCAGTGCAGCAGGGAACTCTGCAGATGGAAGAATATAAAGCCCGTCCACCTAGAGAGAATTGAGTGTCTCTGTGTGATACCTTTATTTAACCACATAGTTGTAATGTTTTTTCTTTTTTCTCTTTTTTTTTTTTTTTTCACAGAGAAGAGTACAGAGAAAGAACTGATTGATTCCATCATGGATATAGAGGATTTGGTTAAAAATGGGAATAAACACAGGTGAATGCTTCTCCCTGACCTTCCTCCTCCTCATTTGTGAAAGCTAAAAGTAGTAGAGTAATAATGAGCAATGTAGAGTGGCAAAATATGTTGCACAGAGACAGCTTTCAAAAACTTGTGTGAACTGAGGCTTTCTGCTACTGTAGTAATACATTACGTAGTAATACATAAAATACATTATGTAATAATATATTTTAGGCCTTCTTTATGTAAAGACTGAATCAGATCAGAATGAGGCTAGTCTAGACCAGCATTTAATTCTAGCCTGAAGAGGAGAGAAGATAATGCAGTGATGAATGTCCTTCTTTCCCCTTTCGTTCTTTGTTTTTGAGCTGAACAGCTTGGCATTTTTGACACTTTTTTTAACCAATGTTGCTGAACCGGGCCCTGACTAGCAGAGCTAGTCATCCACCCCTGAAATCTAATGTGTTGTTTTCAACTCATTAAGCAGTTGATTAGAAATCAACTTTGAGAGTCTGAAATAAAATACAGTATATTTCAGTATTTTTGYAATTAATAATGTCACTCTTTTTTTCACAGAGCTTGTCCTTATTATCTCTCTCGGAGCCTTAAGCAGCAAGCGGATATTATTTTTATGCCTTACAACTATTTATTAGACTCAAAGGTAATCTATATTTTTAAGTACAGTTGTTCCTTTTTTTTGTTTGCATGTAGTGGATTAATCTAAAATGATGCAAAGATGCATAAGAAACTAGGAAACAAATGTATCTTGTAATATACTTCTGAATTAATTAAAATCCCTTTCAAACTCGGAACCATAGACCCTTCTGTATTTTTCCTCATTAAGTTCTTTATCATAGTTGAAGTTTTTCTATCTTGTTTGTTTCTTTGAAACTGAGCTCTTGCAGTGCCGCAGAATATGAGGTCCTTCGTGTTTGGTTATATTTGTCTTTTGAAAGTATGTCTTCAGTTGCTCTACAGTGCTCTTGCACACATTCTGAAATATTTTTTGCTTCTGCAGCATTAGAAGTCACTGGGTTCTAGAATAAGAAAACCTGGTTGGTAGAAATGAATGTCCCTCTTGAGGATAGTTGCTCTCTATGTGTAAAAACCGCTGTAATAAGTTGTCCATATTTCATGAACAGAAGATGAAACCTTTGAAAACTGTGAGGAAACAAATCTACTGACATCTTCATACAAATCAGAATAGTGACCTACAGTAGAAGATATTTTACAGCCTGATATGTTTTTTGCAGCAGACATATGTATTTTTAATTTGACCAATATAAGCAAAGAACCATTGTGGAGTAAAATGATACGGCATTGCCTGGGATGTTGCCAGAACGTCCTCTTCTTGCACAGATAATACGAATGTGAATTTATTAACAACAAAAACCTTCTCTCCCAAATCCCTCCTGACAAAAATAAAGATTAAAGTTTAAGTTTGATAAAACTTGTGTGTCCTAATATGGTATGCATGATTTCTTCTTTATTATGATGGCATTTGTAAATCTGTAAACTTTTGTGAATGCATTTCATCACTTTCGTTTCCTAAGAAAATGATTTTGTTATTTACCCCGTTTCCCAGGAAAAATGTATCCAAATTGCATCCAAATCTAAATCTGTCTTATGAGCCAGTTTCTCAGTAAGTCAGATCACTTCTCTTTGACCTTTATGCCCATTATTCTCTTTTTGTCCCTTATTTTCAGAGCCGGAGAGCGCACAACTTGGACCTGAAGGGGACTGTAGTAATACTTGATGAAGCTCACAATGTGGTAAGTTGCTTGTTCTTGGTCTGTTGCCATTTTTTTCAGACTTCATCCGAAGAGAAAAACATATCAGTGTCCTATTTCGAAGAGTGTGTAAAAGCTGTACTCAGCTAATTCAGTTGTTGGTATTAATCATCATTAGTGTTTTGAGTTTCCATGACAGTTAGAGATTTTTAAGTTTGAATTACAGTCTTTTGCCACTACTATGATTTTCCACAAGGTGGTAGTTTCCTAAAGAATGTCTCTCCAAATTTGGTTCTGGGTCTCTTTCTTTGGAGTTCTCTTCCAGGTGTAAGAATGTGGCAAGACCCTCTTTTGAAGCTCAACCACATTAGCTGTTCAGGTCTACTAAATGATGGATGTGACTTCTAGTTTTATTTGCAAGGTGTTTTTTATGAAGACAAAAATTACATACTGCATTAAGAAACCTCTTGGTTGTCTTGAAGCTGCCATTCTTTGCTTAGATAATGAAATGCAAAGGAAGCTTTGAAATATATTGCCTTTATTCTACCTAATGAACAACCCTATCAGTGAGATTCCTGCTAAGCAGCTGCGACCGTTTTTTGGTTGCATTTTTTTTTGTAAAAAGGCCACTGAAGGGTGTGCTGTTTTGGGCTAGAGGTAGTTGCAGAATTGCACCCACTATATGAACATAAAACAATCTTCTCTGTTGAAAATGGGTCGGTAAACATGATAGTTTTTCCTTTGTAGCACTTAAAAATACTTTTTTCCTGAATGTGAAAATTGCTAAGATCTTCTATTCCACAGCCATTCTTTTAGCAATATTTCTCTCATCTGAATGTCCCTGTTCCAACTTAATAATTATTCTGAAATAAAACTGACTTTGTTCTGAATAGAATATTGACACATGAAACTAATTCAACATTTTTTCTTTATAACTTACTTCTTGACAGCCATTACAGTTGATGTCTGTGTGTATTTCAGCCCTTAATATTTCTCTTCATTTCTCCTGTTCACTGATATTCTAGGAGAAGTTGTGTGAGGAGTCATCTTCTTTTGACTTGACACCCTACGATTTGGCTTCTGCAGTGGATGCTATAAATGTGGTACTGGAAGAACAAGCCAAAGTAGTTCAACAGAATGAAATAAATGCTGAATTCAATATGGAAATGGCCAATTCAGGTGTGTTAATAGCCAGGGACCACTGTTTCACTGGGATTATAGGGTGTCCTTATTAAAGAAGGGAAAATAATTTAGTTTCCAAGCAATTTGATTCTGATTAATAGATAAATTATTTTTATTTAGCACTACTGTCAACAGTATGACCAGATMTGGTCAAAGCAACATGATATTAGGGGTCATAAGGGAGCAGTGCATGGAATGCAGATATCTTTCCGCATATACACAGAGGCAGCCTTATAACTATAACTTCTAGAAGGGCATAAAGAAACTAGGGAATGAAGCAGAGATGAAATGTCCTCTTTAAAATCATTCCTTTCTTCAGCAGGGCTGAACTTGGAACTTGAAGATATAGCAAAGATAAAGAGTAAGTATTTTGTTGTGTTCAACAAAATTGTTGTTGAAAGAATTTTGCAAAGTGAGTTGCAGAAGTGCATTTCTATGAGCCCTAACTTTTTTTTTTCCTTCCCCTTTGATTTCCTTAAAGAAATTCTTCTTCAGCTAGAAAATGCTATTGATGCTGTGGAGCTGCCATTAAATAGTAATGGAGTCACCAAAGAGGGAAGGTAAAAGTATTSTCTTCTTGTTAGGATGTTTGCATGTTTAAAGGTCAACAAACTCTGTGCAACTAACTCTAGAGTGAGCTCTTGCCAGTGAAAGTAGTTTGTGTGTTTACATAGCAAACATGCAACGGGACAAAAACAAATAAGTGTTTAAAGGTCTGTCGGCAGCTGCTAGGTTTGGTAGTGCTATTCTAGCTTCAGAGAGTCTTTCCGGGTTACTTAAATGGCCTTTCCTTAGGAAACATGTCCATGGGAGTATTTACTCATTAGGGTAGATTTGGAATTTATGTGAGTGTTCTTACCCATTTGTGTGTTTTCTTTGTTAATTGCAGCTACATCTTTGAACTGTTTGCAGAGGCCCAAATAACGTTCCAGACCAAATCATCCCTGCTGGAGTCACTCGAGCAGATTTTGCAGTTTCTTTCAGGCCGTAAGCRTGAACTTTTTCATTGTTTCAGTTGGACACTGCAGCTCCTTTCCCTCTAATGTCAACATTTGGGAGCTTGCATGTCTGGAAGAGGAAAGGAGAAAGGGATCCTCATTTGGATTTAAATTTTAAAAGTTTCCATATCTTAAAATATGTTCCTAGACATCCATATCTTTTCATAAAAACTTACTGGGAGGTCCCAGTGCCTCTGATGGGAAATTTTTAGAGATACTTTTAAATACTGCTTTTTGTCATGCCTGATCATGAACACGCATGCATGCACAGAGAAGTTTTGCAAATATAGCTGTTCTTTTTCCAAAATCAGCAAGGCTTTGCAGGTGGAGCTGGTCAGCATTTGGCTGATAGTTGTTTTCTGTCTCCAGCTTTTCCATGGTCATGAAGTTCTAAAACAGGGATGTTAGGAACTGGATAATGCCTTTCCCCTTTCCTTCAATTAACAAGCTTCAGGTCACTCTGGCATTTGTTCTTTAATTTGCCCTTCTGCAAAGAAAAGACTCAAGCTTTTATGTTTTCTGAGAAAATAATTGAGCCAATTCTCTCTGGAAGGCTCTTCTCTAAATATGGAGGACATCTCCAGTCTATGGAGACTAGACCACACACTGTTGGTTCTGCAAATACATCCTTTGTGAGCATGTCTATTCATCCTCTTTTTTACCTAACATGTTTCTTTTTCCGGGCTGTAGCAGACAACAGATGTGTCAGGTTGCCATTTCCGTGGTCATGTTCTCATTAGCAGTATATTTCATACGTTCTTTGAACTGCTCCTTTGTAGTCACTGTTACCAGCATAGCAGGGGCTCTGGGATGGTTGCAATGGGCCATTTATAGCTGTAGCAAAAGTGACTTTTGTGTCTCTCTGACATTACAGCTAGTGGTTGACTTCCTATTCTTTTTTTCTTCTTTTTCTTGAGACCATATTTAATTGCTTTATGTGCTTTTACAAAAGTAACGGAACGTTTTTTTTTGTTAATTATCTCCTTTCCAATTTCTAATTTACAGAAGTTTTGAGAGGTTTTTGTAACTGGCTCAATTCACAATTTATTAGTTTATCACTGATGGGAAACTTAATTTTGGCATGATTTGTCTTTTTTTTTAATATTARTGAAAAACTTGGAATCATTTATCTGTTTCAGGTGATATTTATAAGCCATTGTAGTGTGTTATGCTGGATAGATGACATATGGATATATACAAGTGCAAATGCATTTGTGTGTGCAAAAAAATAATAATCTRTTCCTTCCTGCAGGTACTGGGATATTTATCAATACATCTGGATTGCATAAGCTTTCAGATATTATCCAGGTAAATAATTAATACTGCTTCTACATATGCCTAAAACCTTGAAAAATTGGTTTAAAAAATGTGGCAAGACATCAGGGCTGGTTTTAACTTCCACCAGGTGGAGCTGGGTTATTGAACTGTGCACGTTCAAGCCAGCAGTGTTTGAGGATGTGAGACCTCGTGAAAAAGCAAGTCAGGCTTAGGAAAAAAAATCAAGAGAAAATAATTGTAACTTTTTTCTTTTTTCCCATTTACATATTAACTTAAGTCATCTGTAAAACTAAATGCCTGTAGTGCTGCAGGAGCTGAACGTGACACTCAAAGTATGTGAGCATCTGCATTCTGCAGTCAGCCTYCTCCCTGCTGTGCAGGTACAAAACACTGAAAATGAAAAACCTGGACCAGTGAACTGAGAAGGTGCAGTGGGCCAGTGGCCTGAAGTTCAATTTCTGCCTCCCCTCTTAATTTCACCAAATATTCTTGGGTGACCCTGACAAGTTGGGTAATTATCTTCAGACAAAATAACATCTCAGCTCTAATGTTACATGSTGAAAAATCTGCTTACATGTGGGATTAGTTTCACTATATTCCCAGAAGTTGGTGATTTCAGAGCAGCCTCCCTGCCTGAGTCACGAGGGGATCAGGTTGAACCAAACCTTTCCCTAGCAATGCAGTGGGAACTTTGTTCCCCAGACACTTTTACTTTGTTTTGGATCTGAAAGATCTTTCTTCCTTTGTCTTTAGTAGGTAGGTGACGATAAAGTTGACCTCTTACTGCRTGTTGCTCATTACTTTTCTCTCTTGGTTTAATAAATTTCTTATATTAAAAATTACTACTGATACATGAAATCCCATGGAGTTGAAGACTCCTGTTTGTCACTCTCTGGTTTGTTCTACGCACTGGTAGCCTGCGTAATGAATAAGCTAACATACTTCTTTTTTTTTTTTTTTGGAAACCATTGACCTCATAGATCTTTTCCCTGGAAAACATGTTGCTTAAAAATGTAATCTATACTTACAGGAAGCATAAAAGTGCCAAAAATGTTGATAAAATAATGTAAACACAGACAGGAGGCAAGTAAGGTCTGTATAAAGTGTGTTGAAAGTTTTCTTACCTGATAAAGATGATGTMTGGCTGTATTTCAAAGACTCTCCTCATCTTCGAGTCATTGCTGCCTTGTTAGTTTAACCATAGGGAGAAACAAAGGCATTCCTTTGTGCTCTGGCTAAGCTCAAGTGAAATATTTTGGGTTTTGGAATCCTGTTTAATCAGGAATGTGTCATGAAATACATGGTCAGCACAGGCGAGTTCAACGATAACGTCAGCCTACGTATCCAGTGGCTTCTTTGCAAGGAGAGTGGATTCTGCCTCAGTGAGTTTAGGGATCTTTCTCTCCAAAAACTGGCAGAAAAGGGTCTGAGTAGAAACCATTGCATTTCTTGTTGAGTTCACCCCACCGTTGTGACTTGGATTGATCAGGTTTGTTGTGTACCATCAGAAATGTCTCCTGCAAATTCTTGGTACTGCTCTTTAACATCTTCTGAAAGCTGAGAAGAGTTCCTTCTAATCTCCTGTGTATTCTGCTGTTCTGATAATGTCGTTATACTTAATTCCCTCAGTCCAAATTTCTCACTTTTTAAAACTGGATAATCTGAAATTTAGTGAATCAAAACTTGTTTAGTTTTGTAATACTGAACTCATCAAATGTGTGGACGTTTGTGGCAGTCAAATGTATTCCCAGTGACATGCAAAGTATTTTATTTTTATAGAAACCTAACAAAGCCTAGATGCACGTTCTGGTGCACTGGTAGCAAATTTTCATATATTAGAAGGTGCATGCAGCTGTTGCCTTGTGGGCAAGGTGAGACACAGTGAATTTAATCTCCTCGTCTGSGCTTTCAAAGCTGACGGTGCGGAAATGCAGAATTAGAATCCTGGTGTGAGGATTCCAGGCGCTGGAGAAGATGGATTGCAGGGAACTACGGACACATGGAACACAGTTTGACTTAGCTGAACTGTCTTTCCCTGAAAGCTAAGCTCTCTGCTGCTGAAAAGGTGTACATGGACAGCAAGTCCTCCTTATTCATAATCCTTCCCTAATTCATTATTCCAAGATACTTTTTTTAGTAGGGCGAGGTCATGGCCAAGTCTTACCTGATGAAACATGGTGTTTCTTGTTGCAGAGCTTTGTCTTCAGCAGTTAATTTATCATAAGCTCGTTTTTATTAATGATAACTTTTTTCAATTTTTTTTTTTAAATTTTGGAAGAACATTTAGTAAAATTTTTTTGTACATTCGTTTTTTGGGTAATTTTTGTAAGTTAATCTTTCCAGGAATTGTACTTTTTTTTTCTTTTCCTTTCCTGACTAGTGCTGAACATCTTTCTTTTTGCAATTAGCTGATATTCTCATGAGCTTGGATAATTCCTTTTAAATGTCTGAAGGACTTTTGTTTAGAAAAATTAACGTAAGTTATAAATATTTGAGAACCACAGCTGTTCTCACTGCAATTGCCTTGCAATGCCTTATGCTTAAATGAGTGTCTCCCTTAGTCATGAGACTTCACAAGCAGGAAAAGGAAAAAAACATCATTCCATACAGAAACGTTGACAGAGGTTTTCCATTTAATATATTGATAGCTACATGCAATTATAGCTTCAAAGCAGAGTATTGCTAGAGTGCCATGGCTGAAGTTACTTTTTAAAAAAATCAGGGAATCAAGTGGTACTTTTAAAAGTAGTTTTGACTATCAATAGCCAAGTCACGTGCGGTTTGGATAATACTGACACTTGTGTGGGTTGAATGTGTGTTTACATGGAACCTAGCCAGTTGTTTTATTGCTCCTTTGTATGCATCAGGTGCTGTAAGTGCACAGAGTTTAATACACAATTAGGAAACAGAAAAACCTTTGTATTTAAGTAGTGGCTTAAATAGTGGCATTATATTTAAATAGTCCATCATTTCACCCAACAGGAAACCAAACAATTAATAAGAGTTACCTGTAAGGACGTGTTTATTCAGGGTTCTCTGTTTTTATTAAATGATAAAGGGGCAAGAAGATATGTTTAAGGTTAACACAGCAGTAACTTTTCTGGAGGTAGTTCTTAGTGCAAGGGCACGTTAGAGATTTTGCTCAAAACACTTGTTAATCTTTCTCTTTTTATTCTTTTGCCAGACAGTGTTCAGCATTGATCCTCCAGAAGGCACGATGGGTTTCATGCCATCCCGGGCCATATCCAAATACTACAAGGTATGGGGTGCAGGGTGTGCTCTGCAGTTCTCTTACGTGACATTTCATGTCTGTGCTTAGAGTATTAAAGAGTTAGACTGTGGACAGAGTAGCAAATTATGGTTTTGATCAGAAGGACGTGTAAGTTCTTAAAAATAAATAAAACCAAAGAACTGCAGTAAATCTAGGTTCTAAGGAAAAGGATAATCCAGATAGCAGTTTTAAAGTAAACTATTTAAAATGGACTAAGGAAAGTGCAGCAGGTGCAAGTTATTGGAAACTTCAACACATTCTGCTATTCAAGAAGATATGTGTTCTTTCAATGAACTAGTCTCTTCCTCACAAAGCCTGAGTTATTTGAATTTTTTTTGATGATGATGAAACAGATGTCTWCTGTCTTGTATAGATGAATTGTAATGCTAAGAACTGAGTTGTTGAAACTTGTTTTGGCCTGGTGGACAATGCCCATTTTTTTTTTTTAATTGGTGCAGTATGTCTGGTTAAATGGTGATACACTTCTCTGATCCTTGCTAGATATGTTATGAGTGATTGGAAACAAATTAGGAAAGAGATAACAAATAACATAGCCTTACTAGCACTATAAAATAACATTAGTTGGCCGTAACTACCATGATGACAGGAATGAACCCTATTGAGGGATGAAGTTCAAGTTCCTGCAGCAGTCTCTGGGAGAGCTGAATTGTGTTTCCTTCAGGTACACATCCATCTGGATAACAGTAATCAGAAGAAGAAACAAAGGACAGATCTCTGGAATTCATCGGCTGTAAAAAAACAAGGTATGAGAGTAGGCTGTACAGCCCGCTACAAAAATTGGATTGAACACTTCTTTTMTTGATTTAAATAAAAGAAAGCGATTGAAAAAGAAAACAATAGACCAAAGAAACAAAGAAAGCAAATTCTAATCTTCATTACTTTGCCCTTTTGAACAAGGAGTCTCTAGCAAATTATGCAATGCTGTTGCAGGCCTTTTCCTTAGGGAGCTTCAGGGCTGAACCCCYCTAACTGGGTTTGTCTGTATTGAGAAAATGCCCTTCCTCTTCAGCCCCAATAACACAACCCTGTCAGCTGGTGCTCTGACAGAGAGGAGRGGTCTCCAGAGCCTGGTTCGTATGCGTTGTAGATATGCTCCAAGTTCAGACACTCCCTTGATGGGACCAGCGTATTGGAGCATCATGGGGTTTGTTTGAGCTTATGTGTTTTTTGTGGTTGTTTTTGTTGTCGTGTGGGGTTTTTTGTTTGTTTGTTTGTTTCTGTGAAGAGACTTAAGGTTGTTGCATTGCCCTGGAGCCATCTTCCTCTTCATCAGCTTCCCCAGCGCTGCCATTGGCTGGCTCAATCTGAAGCTCTATAATGAATATATAATGTGCCAGAGAAATCAAGCTTGGGAATGTGAACTCTTAGCCAGAAATGCTGTGCCTGCTAACACCTTTGAATGTCATTATGCTCGCTGAGATACTGTCTTTAACTTCCTCAGTTCTTAAGGGCAGTGTCTCTTTGGTAGTTTCAGTCTCCTCTCTAGTTTTTGATCCTTCCCAGTTCGCCTGAGACTTCTCCCTCTCCCCTCTTTCCTCCACCTGCTTTTTTACCTCTCCTCTGCAACACTTGGTATCTGGAACTACCTCAATGTAACTGTGTTTCGGAACAACATATGTAAAGGGAAAGAAACTGCGKCCGAATCAAAGGGTTATCTGAAGGCCACCGTAGGGGACATCAAGCTGGGTTTTGTTCTTCAACATCCATTTCACTTTCCTTGTAAGTACAGTCAGATGGAAAACAAAACAGACGCGCTCTGATTACATAATAAGGATGTAGAAATTAATGGTAGGCTCTCTTTACCGAAGCCTCCTTCAGAGGATACTTTCCAAGGATCTTTGTAAATACTTGGCTTCGTTACTGTTTACTTAATTACATTCTCAAGAGTACTTAAATGAGTAAGTATTTGCTTCACAGAAGTTCTGTTTTTCAGGGACAAAACTTGAATGGGTTTCCACGAATTTAGTGTTTTTAGACATAATGTCCTTACTATGAAGTGTTCACTTCACCAGTGTGTTTCTGAATAGAAGCAGGCTGTTTGGTAATCTGCAGATACTGGTTTCCGGGGATATTGCTCAAACAAAGTTTCAAGTTACAGAAATACTTTTAAGTCGATTTTCCTATATCTATAGGCAGAGAAAGGTTAAGAAAAATACTTCATGCTTCATTGCATAATTTGAAAGATTTGTACACAAAAATAATGCAAAGCAGTTGCAGGATCCTGTGATTTAGTAGGGAACATGCTGATGCATTTATTTTTCAAATAAAAAGGTTATTTGCAAGTACTTGGGCAACAGATTTGTTGAGACTTGCACCATGTGCAAATGTAGCAGAGGCCAGACTAGACTGATGAAGTTTTTGGTCCCCTGTAGTTTGAATATATAGAGTATTGCATAGGGAAATGCAGACCTCAAGAATAACTCTTCTTCCTAAGATTTTCTTGAAATGATTCACTGGAGCATAGCTCTCTAGAACTGTAATTTGTGACAGGAGGTGGCCTAGCTTGCGGGAACTGATAAGCTTCTTGCCTTAGCTATCTGTCCCATGCCCGGATGCTGCTTACAAATGTGCCATTAAACTATGGTGGTTTTACATAAAGGTAAAATGCCATTGCTTTGATTTTGCTGTAAATCACCGCGTTGGCAACTGCTGGCAATTCTTCTCCCTGCAGCTCAGCAGTCCTTGCACCGAGGATGAAACAAGCTGCAGTGGAGACATACATTACATATCATCCCTACCATCCACTTTGTACGGTTCCTACTTGTCAGTGGGACCCYTCACACCAGATTAACGTTGCTATGCCTAAAGTCAAAATTGCAGAACTCCAGGCTGCAGGCAGATTGCAGTTCTAGCTTCTCCAAGACCAGTGCATTGGTGCTTGGCAAGCATTTTACAGGGTTACTGAGAAGGGTATTTCAAACAGAGTTCGTGAGGAAAAAATATTAATGTTCTCTTTGAGACTCTCCTATARCTTGGTGCAATTTGGAGTTTCTTCTGCTCCTAAGTGGCTTTGCKCTTGTTTGGATATTTACTGGCCTGCCCACATACAGATCCATACACTACTGTTTAAATGTAACATGCAGTCATTTTAGTGTGAATCAAAGATATCCAGAGTTTATTTAATTTTGGAATCTTAACTTTTTTAGAATCTGGATATCTTTGGCATGGATTTCTCCAAATGAGAGGGAAGAGGAAAAGCTAAAAATCATTGTTCTGTCTTGTAGTAGTAAGTGACTCATTTGGCACATAAGCCTGGGGATTTCCTGAAACTCTTTCCTGAAATGAACGTTTTGAAAACAAAGTTTAGAGTCTTTGAGCGGTGTGCTTTRAAAGACATGCATGATATATGGATGCTGTAGGTTTTTTCTATAATTAAATGAATCATGCAGAGCAGAATCCCCAAACTAGTGTTTCATTTGGCCGCCCTTGTTCTTGATACAGACGGCCGTTTCTGCCCCTCTTCCTTTTGCTGATGCGAGGCTTTGGGCAAGACCACCTGTGTTCTACCTATCAGCTGAGCAGTGAAAGAAATGACTAGTGCCACTTGCACATTTTTTTGTACATCCCTTGTGTTCATGGTTTTTGTTTTCCTAGATATTCGGTGGGGCATGTGTGTTTGTATCCTCATCCATAAATGTTTTGAGCAGAATTAAAGTATTTAGCAGTTGAGTCTGTGAAAGAAGAAAACTTACGGAAATGGGGATGTAATGCAGGATTTTAGCCTTTAAGACTTACTAAAGAAGTTGAATTCTTTTTTCAATCAAGATATTTTCAAGTAACTTCAGTTGCTAGTTCTTCATCTCAGTATTTTTGCAGGTCTTCTACCATGCTTCCCTTTCCARTTGCCCAGGAGAGCTGGAAAGGAACCAGTGGATGGATGGAGGAGTAAAGGGTTTTATTTCAGCAGCCTGACAGTTGCTGACAAAAAGCTCTCTTTTCTGCAACAATATTTTGACTAAGTATATAATTTACTTGGAGTGTCAGGTGTCAATGAACTTTTAAACTGTATTTTGAATGGATATAACAAATCGGAAAAGGACCAAATCAACACACGCTGTATTTGTGGGATTTTAGCTCTGAATGATAGCTTTCCACTTGCAGGAGTTCAGATGCTGCTATCTATYGTATGCTAGGCAGTCACTCATTCTGCAGTATACAGACTTGCTGCTTAGTGTTTTCTCTTTGATTCAGGAAAGACCTTGAGCTACTGGTGTTTCAGCCCGGGCTACAGCATGCATGAGCTCGTTCGACAGGGCGTCAGGACCATCATCCTCACCAGTGGGACGCTCTCCCCGCTCTCATCCTTCACCATGGAAATGCAGATGTAAGTATCTAGAGGTATGAGCGGAAACATTAGTGAAAATCCACARTCTGCCCTGATGGTGTTAGGCTTTAACTCAGAATTTTTATGTTTTAGGCTTTAGCTCAGAATTTTTATGTTCTGGACTGAAAGTGCAATAAGGAATAATTGAATGAATATGACTCAGATCTCACTTTGGCATTATGACTTGATGTCACTTGTTTTTCAGCCCCTTTCCTGTTTGTTTGGAGAATCCACACGTTATTGATAAGCACCAGCTCTGGGTCGGGATTATTCCCAAGGGACCTGATGGAACTGTGCTCACTTCTACTTTTGAAAAAAGGTAATGGATTTCCATAGGGAATGCTGATGTGAAGTTGTGGGTTCTAAAATTAACAGTTTTGTTTAAAGTAGAGAACCAGGGGAAGAAGCAAACTTGGGGCATAAAAAAAAAAAAAGGTGAAATTTCAGTCAGGACTGGAAGAAGCAGATAAATACTCTAGTCAGTATAGAGCACTACTGTATCACTGCTTTGTCAATGAAAAGTGATTCACTCGGCTTGTACCACCAGTAAATAGTAACGAAAGCAACCGAATTTTCCCCTTCTCCACCTCCCTGCAGTCTCGACACACCTAATTCATCAACTTTAGATAGTTGTAATATTAGTCACGGTTGGCAGCATCTTCAGGGTTTTTTTTTTTTTCTGGCAGAAATTTCATCCTTAATTTGTTAACATTAATCATAAAATCCATTAAAATTCATTACATATGGCTGCACATTTCCCCTTGCTAAATGCTGGTAATATTGAGGCTTCGATCGTCTTCAGTGCCGTAATTAAAATATTTAATGACAGCAGTATCACGTAGTCAAAGTAGTACCCACAAATATTGTGTCCTTGGTATAGGTGACTGCTACAGGAAGGAGGGTAGTGGAAGTATGGATATGCCATTTTAGATTGAAATTATCAAAAGAAGTCAATATATGTGAAAAATAAAGAAAATGATGTTTGATTTTTCTGCTTTGTAGGTTTTCYGAAGAATATTTATCTTCTCTCGGGAAGACGATTGGTAAGTGAGGTGTTTCAGAAACAGACTATTGCACAGGATTTCTGGAAATCTTTCAGAATGTGTCTGAAATGTTAAATAATCAGCTCTTGTAGAAATCATAACTGATTTTTGCATGCTGTTTGTTTAGGCAGCTGGTTACAGCAATTGCATGTGAAAATGAATGCAAATCCTTATTTGGTATTTCAAAGTTTTATTGCCAGTTCTTTTTCTTTGGACCAAAAATGGAGGCCATAACTGTGGTCAGAAAGATGCATGAGATGTTGCTGAAAAATAAGTCAAGCAAAAAAAAATCGAGGATTTCAAGAGGCCAATGCAATGACAAGGGTTTTTGAAGTGATTAAAGAAATTAACTTTTTCTGATGCAACAACCTTCATGCTGAGAAAGCAGCAAATGCTTTGGAGCAGAAAATATTAACCATGCTGGTGATTTATTTTTCCTCTACAGTCTATGCACTCTGTCTCAGGAGAAAAGCTCTGAATTAGATTCGTTTGTCTATCTTGTTGCAGGTAATCTTGTGCGCGTTGTACCCCATGGGCTGTTGGTGTTCTTCCCGTCATATCCTGTCATGGATAAGAGCCTGGAATACTGGAGAGTATGATGATTCTTCTGCCTTTATACATAGTTTAGCTGTGCGCTTCAGGTGGTGTATAGTTATGCTATCTRACCATGCTCATTAAAAATTCTTTGTTAATAAATAATTATAAAACGGAAAAAGTAAAATCCTAGGTAAGATTTCTTTTATTTTGATCACAGTACGCTGAATTGCAGTACTGTAGAAGTTAAAGCCTGGAAGAATCCTATTACACTAGTTCATTTGACCTCGGAGTTAATTTAATTTCGTATTGCAGGGTCAGTCCCTAGGATGTTGATGTTGGGAACTTGCACATTGGCGAGAAAATAAATGATTCTCACTTAAGGGCATTTACACGGAGAGAGATTTCAAGGAACTGTAATGTTTGAGTGATGCCAACTGCCAGGGACTTCCTTGGGTGGTTGGAGTYGGATGTTTCTGACCCATCTCTTCCTGTTTGGCAAGAGAGGAGCAGACTATGGGGAAAAGATGTAATGACCACTCTTGCAGGCATTTCTGGTATTTACTTGCTTTCACATGGATGTTTTTGGTGTCTTATCTGTTTAACAGGAGCATGATTTTGCTAAAAGAATAGAAGAAGTGAAGCCAATGTTTGTGGAACCAAGGAATAAAGGAAGTTTCACGGAGGTTGGTAATTTGCAGTACATATCTGTAACGCTTTCAGACATTGTGCTTAAATACCTTTTGTAAGATGCATTTGGTCGTGAACTGCCTATTCCTAGAATAAAAATCAAAAGCTCTGAGCAGGTAATTCTTCCATCCTTCATTTCACTCTTTTCGTTAGATGTGCAGGATATAATCTTCATTTGAAATCCAGTGATGCAACAGCTGCTACTATAACATACATATATATTGAGAAGTTCACTCAAGTACTTGTCATTTTTGAATGTTCTGTGGGCCATTTCCTTCCAGCGTCTTGTGCTTTGGGTTTTTATGGATTTGTGCAGTACAGGTTTGATTAAGGATACTTTTAAGTACCAGATTGGTACCAACTTTATGCAGTGGTTATTGTCAGTAGAGGTCTACATCTGTTACRGGAAATGTTTGTGTGTTCAGGATTTCTCCTTAATTGTGCAGCAGTAAATGCTAAATTACCACTGAAATGGGAAGTCCTTTAGGGACTTTTGAGTATGTTTTTATATGTGAATCTTTAAAATTTAGTATTTCGTACATTTACTGTTTGCAATGGAAACCAATGAAAGAGAGAGAGGTTTGGACTTTCTAGGAAAGAAAGGTCAGTTTTCATTACYCATTTAAATAACTTACACTTAACTTGCCACTGATATCTTTATAATTTAGAGCATAGCACATTTTGAATTGCTGCTGCTTCTATAAAGATGGACACTGACACAGATATATATTCTAAGGCACCTGTGTGAGCCACACTGGAAGATGTGGGTAGGATTTGTTTCCACTGAACAGCAGCAAGGCACTTCATRTGTTTTATTCTGTCAGTGAACTAGAAGGACGCCCTCATCATAAATTCTTGTTCTTTTGGATTTTCCCTTCTATCTTTACTGCAGGGTCAACATTGATTTTATGTGTTGGTCACTTCACTAAAACCAAACTTCTTCACAGGCACAAATGTCTGTCTGCTTTTGCTTTCTCTGGCTGCCAGTRAATCATATGCTGTTGAATATTCATTAAAATTCTGTCCCAACTTCCTAAGTCTTTGAAACTCCCCTACTTTTCCTGCCTTTTTTTTCTTGTTTACTTAGAGTCTCTTTTGCTTGTGTCTTAGAGTAAATAATATCTTTGAATTGTTTTCCTGGGCTGGCTTTTTTTACTCAGTAATTCATCATTTCTTTCATATTTACCCAGAAGTATTCTGGGTTTCATTGTAATGTGAGAAGCCATTTGCTTATCGAAATCTTTACATTTACACTTCTGTTCCAGCAAGGAAAATGATACTAAGCCAAATTAATCAGATTTTTGGATCTCGGTGTGTGAATCAAATCGATTTAAATAGATTTCTATTCCTCCATATGTAAAGGATAATTCCACTGTTACTCCTACTTAAGCTAGTTTATCTTTTAGGTCATGGATGCATACTATGATAAAATTGCCTGTCCGAAGTCCAATGGAGCTGCTTTYTTGGCAGTATGTCGGGGGAAGGTAATGTAACAGACCATTTATAATCTCTGAGATAAAATTATAGAAGTGATAAAAGAAAACAGCTTTGTTTTCAATTTGAGAGCTATATTTATATTCCATAACTCTAGTTATAGGTAGAAGAAGCAAGAGAAGTGTGATGTCCTCGAGCATTTTCACATTTATTATCAATTATATACATCTTTCAAGGGATACATCTGTGTGTTTCTTGAAGGGGATGAGTTTCAAAGATGTTTTATATTTCTWATTGGCAACTCCTGCAGTTCACTGGAAGAAAAAAAAAATTTGGAGGACATTTAACAGAAGCATCTGTGTTTAATCCCATTAGAACCATGTTGCTGGAAACTATAAATAGCTCTTAATTTAAGAGATGGCATTTATATCAAGTTCAGGTCCTCTGTGAACATTTAATGGCCTTTCAGTTACATTTTCCAGTGTTTTATAAATTGATCTGTTACCAGTGGAAGTATTTGCAGGGTCATAAATTACTCTTACAGCCTTTGTGCTGCCTGCTTCTGCCTAGAGCCTGCCAACAGAAACTTGACTCAACTTTTTGTTGCACCTCTAGTCCCAATTTCCAAACCAGCTGTTGGATCAATTAAGGAATAACACAGCTCTTGTTGGGTGGGACTCGGTGAGTAAGCCTGTCCCTCTGACAGCAATATATTAGCCTCAGAGGCTGTGGAGAGATCATGGCTTTTAATAACACAAGGTTTAAGAACAGACTATTTAGATTAGTATAGCCAAAGGGTGCATGACTACAARTCTGGAAATCCTCCAAAAGATAAACCAACGAAGACATGTTACCGAAAGCTACCTAAAGCTCAGCTCCCTTTCAGCTGAGCCTTCAATGTAACTTCTCAAGATGTAGTTTAGCCTTTAGGTTCCCAGTAGGTTCTAGCAAGCGTTTTTGTTCCTTGAAAGAAACAGGAGTACCAATACTTTTCAGAAGAGAAGAATTCCATCTTAGTTGCTCTAGGGTTTATAAACATAAGGGATTTGGTGAATTAGACCTCTGTGTAGGAGTTGCACTGCCTTTCAGAAGTTAATTTTTATGTGTGAGCGTGTGTATCTTCCATCTAAACTGGTTCTTTTACTAGCTGGAGGGACCTCTTTTTTTCTGTGCCCAAGACAAAATGTCCATAACTACAACCATATGACTGCTGGCTTCAGCTGGATTGGGAATAGCTTCCCAGAGCATCCTGTGATCATGCTCCTTTTTGGCGCTGGTTTCAGCAGGCCAGAGTTGGTCATTTACCCATCGCTACTTGTCACACGTACATAGGTGTTGGTGCAGCTGTGCTAAATGATTCAGCTGAGGAAACAAMCCCCCTTTTTTCTCCCGTATTATTTTTCAGTCCACTCAATTCTCTGAGCTTGTTCAGTTCACAAGCCGGGTGGCCARCACAGCATGGGACGTGCTGCAGAGGCACGAGCGAGTGGTCAAAGAGAGGGAGAACTGCTTGAACTGATGTAAGCAGCACAGCTGGTGAATATGACATTATAGTCTGGTGGTCTCTGAGCAGATTTCTTCCATTATTCCTTTGAAAAGATACTGTGAATTTTTTATTATATATTATTTTTRCCATATTCTTACTGAGTCTTCTTATTTGGAGCATGGAAGGATTAGAGAGTATTAACTGAAATTTAACACATCGCTTCAGTGCAACTATTCTGCTCATATAGTAGTAAGACACAAATAAAGTAATGTTGTTGCCTTAGGCATGCATTATCGGGGCCTCTTAGGAGAAAAAAAATAAAGCTTAAGTCTTGCCATAAAAACAAGAGATCTAGTTGAAACCTGTTTAATATATTTACAAATGACGCTTGGCTAAGGATTTAATGTCATGAAAGGGGAAAAAAACAGCCCAAGATGTGCAGACTCACTCTGTATCACTTCAATTCCTGTTGGTAAAGGATAACGCTCTCCCTTCAGGCTAGTGAGGGCCTGGACTTTGCAGACATGAATGGACGAGGAGTCATCATTACTGGCCTCCCATTTCCTCCTCGTATGGAGCCAAGAGTTGTTTTGAAGATGCAATTCCTGGATGAAATGCGGAGAAGTGGGGCAGGTGCACAGGTAATACAGGTCAACTTTTCAGTGTTGACTATTTGCTGATTTGTTTTGTCAGCATTTCTGCCTCTTGTCTCTGGTATAGAGGCTCAAAAAAAGAAGTGTATTTAAAGTTTCAAAGACTTTTGTGTGCCTGTGTTGTCTTTGAGGGACCATTTTCACCCAGAAAGAGGCTGGGCAGCAAGCCTTGCCTGTGATAACACTTGCTTGACCTCTCTATTTAATATTCTTCAGACAAGAAAATAAGTGGCATTATAAATTGTTCGTTGTCCTCAAGGATAGCTGCTATGTAATAAATTTGATGAGTTTAGTACCAAAGCTGTAAATAGCTCCTTAGGTTGGATATTAGTACTTGAGTTTTCACTGTCCCATAACTCAGCTGATATGTTTGAGTGAACCTATATTTACTTTTCCAGCCTTTTAGAGATGAGACGGTCAARCTTGGTTACATTTTCTAATGATTTGGAAAGAAATATGTGCTACGTGGAGGATACCTTTTATCTGCTAACTAACAGGTCTTTCTCCYACCTACTGTAGTACCTCTCTGGGCGCGAGTGGTACAGCCAGCAAGCTTCCCGGGCTGTTAACCAGGCCATCGGCAGGGTCATCCGACATCGCCAAGACTACGGGGCCATCTTCCTGTGTGACCAAAGGTGAAAACACATCTTTATAGCCCATTTGTGTTTTGTATGTAAATGAGCCACTCTCGAGGAGATTACAGTTCAAAAGTAGATACATGATCTTATAAAACAGGCCAGGTAACAAATTACTCCCCTACAATAGTCCAATTGTTATCTGCTGATCCTAGAATATGTTATCTTGGATCTGCAGAAAGATACTGATAATATTAATGTAAAATAACCTGGTTTGTCAAATTTATAGGTGTGTGTTTCTTTATACAATTAAGTGCCTGCTGTAATTTAAGGTTTTTATGTTTCCCTCTCCTTTGAGAAGGCAGTCAACCAAACTGCAGTTTGGGAGGAGTAGAATGGAGGAAAGATTCTAAGAACAACTGATAATTTAGTAACCTTCTAAGTAGCTCCCCTTTCAGTGGGGAACCCCGACTCTGGACTGTGACCACAGCACAGTTCAGTGCTAATTTTGTACACTTAAAGATTTTATGAGAAGGAGATATGGATCGGATGATTACACAGTACATACTGTTAACAAAGCCCTGTTCTTTTGAGTGCAGGTATCACCCCTGTTGTGGATACTGTGCAGTTAAAGTTTTCTTACTATTCCTTTTAGACCCTAATTTATCATTTGTTTAATACACTTGGCCACCTAGCAAAAATAAGTCTCTCCTCGTTGAATCCTACACAGATTCACAACTGGTGATGTAAGGGACAAGCTACCTTCATGGGTCCGCCCTTATGTGACGGTTTATGACAACTTTGGGCATGCAGTCAGAGGTGTCTCTCTCTTCTTCCGTGTTGCTCAAGATATTGTAAGTGTCCTTAGAATTTTTTTCTTGATAGTGTTAGAAACTGGGAATACTAAGCCATGAGAGCCACTCTGTTTGGAATATCATGTTGCATTGGCATAGCAAGAACCAGATGCCAGAAGCCAGTCATATTAGAAATAATTCCAGACCTGTTAGATATTAGGACTAACTTCTAGGGCAAATTCCTGGGGCATGAGGGATTCTTCCCTTCAAAATGAGAGATTAAAATTAGACAAAACAGTTAGACTCAGATGACTTCCTTGAAGATGCTTTGGCCAAATACCAGTTAGTCAACATAATAAGTTGCAGATGAATTAGACTGAAKGATTTAATAACCTTTTCCGATGATAAATGGGAATTTCATGGTAAACAAGAACCACAACCTAATATATTTTGATACTTTGGAGGGATAATGTCAGGAAGCAATTGTTCTGCATAGTGACTTGGCTGCTCTGTTACACAGGCCATTTTGTGCTCTACACTTTATATGTCTATGTCAGTTTCCAATTATTTTGTCCTGTTGTCAGAAAACATAAATCCAGAATACTTAATGATCTCAATAACAGTTTTGGGGGGGGAAAATAGGATAGCTTCAGGTTGCTGCGGGGATCTTCAGTTGCAAAGGGAGTAGTTAATGCATGGAAGAGTAGCTTTTGCCAGCTGTAATGTTTCTAAACTGTTTGCAGATGCCCCCACCCCTGCCACAATGCCCATCTGCTGCTGCCCTAAGGGAAGGGGAAATGGCACCATCCGCTTCATCTGACCAGGCACAATTCGTGAGCAAAGCCAAGAAACTGGATGACCATGTTCCAAGTTTGAAGAGGAAGAGAGCAGGTTGGTTTGGGTACTCGTGGGTATCCTTCTGTTCAGTCTTGTGTAAATTTGCTCTAAACCAAACCAGAAAAGGTTGGACTGGAACTGGCTGAAACTGGAGCAAACTGGAAGCTGAATTGGARCAGAAAGGAAGGAAGATGCAATGACTGACATAGGCTGATCAGAGGGGGCATAGCGTAGCATTAGAGACCTGGGGAACCACTTGGGGACTACTGATCAAAGAAAGTGGTGAAACCTGAAGGTGTGCCCTGCAGAAAAGGAGGCATTCAGTGAAATATGAGGTAGTTTAAAATATAGRAGCTGTAAGACAGTTTCTGAACAGCACTGCTTTTCCTATTCCTCTTCCATCTCRTTGTACAAATGACTCTCTTACACAATGATCTGACTAAAATGATAGAGCACGTTGACCTCAAAAGAAAACAGTGTTTTAGTATTTATGGTGAGCTAATGCCAAAGAGTGAAGTGTTTCTCGCATAAGAAACTCTTGCAGAATGTTCCACTCTGGATCACTCCTCCTTACTGAACAGAACAACAAAGTTGAATTTAAAACTATGGTTTGAGAAGAGTTGCAATTGAGTGCAAGGGCATGATTTCATTGCATCTAAACCACTGTGACTGCAGGCTGTCACTGCAAGGGTTGACTGGGCCAACAACCTTTTTCTCTTATTTCCAACTGTGCTCTTTCCCTTGGGCTGAATTTATCCATTGTGTAAGTACTGGTTGAATCGAACCAGCTTGCTAAACCATTTACCCTTCATCCACAAGGTTCTTAGATCCACCTCAAAGATAGGGTGGAAAGCGAGAATGAAGCTGGAAGGAGGAAGCTGCATAACCTCTAATACTGGTTTCCAGATGCACTGCATTAGCTGTAACATCAAATTGCATGCAGCCTTAATTTTTTGCCTGAGTGCTTTGTACTGAATTTTAAATTKTAGTACACTTCCATTCTTTTCAAAATAGTGAGTTTTTGTAGCAGCTGTCTATGTTTGGAGTCATTCCACGAAAAAAGAGGAAATATATTTTAAAGAAAGTGCCTTCTGGAAGTAACAAACTATACTGATTGAACACTACCAACAGCTTGAAGTTCTGATATTTGAATTCAAGTATATCTGARCCCTAGAGAGTGGGAATATACATATTCTGGAGAGATGAGGTCACAGTATCTTATAGGASCTAATACTGTGAGATTGTAGGCTTTAAAAACTGTATGATTTTTTTAAACACGTTTCACAAAAAGGCCATTTAAAAGCAGGAACTCAATTTTGGGGGAATGCATAAAAATACAGTGGTTAAACACAGACAGGGGTGGCAGTAAGTTTGTCTGTTTTTAGGTTTTTTGGTGGGKAGGGGTGGAGTTTGGGTGGCATTCTAGCCACCAGATTGTGGTAGCAAATGCTTGAGCTATTTTGGGAGTGGTTAACCAAAATAAGCTTTTCAAACCAGATAATACAGTTCCCCTCAAGATGTGGGAGATGGGGTAAACCAACATATATTTGTGGATTGGGATTGCTACCTTTAGTCCTGAGACAATTAAAATAACACAGAATGCAGGAGCTCATGTGTTTTTTTGTTTTGGTTTGAATTTTTTTGACCTGTTTTATGCGGGGATGTCAGTAAAGGGARATGCAGCGTCCAACCTGTGCACAGAATATGAGCAAGAGCTGGTCTGCCCTAGAAAGCAGTGCAGTGGACTCTTGGACGCCCTGGAGCGTAACGAGAAGAGCCGTGAGGATGCAGAGGAGGAAGATGCCTTGCCAGGAGAGGAAAAGGTAGGGAAAATGCCTTGAATACTTGCTTTAGAGTAGAAGCTGAAAGTAAAATCAGTTTGGCATTAGCTGACAGRTACCAATTCAATTCCCATTCGGAGGAAAAAAAAGGTTATAACTGAGCTAAACAAAAGGTCTGTTTGGTTTTTACTGCATGAACAACAGATACACACTTGCCTTGTGCTTTATAATAGCAGAGCGTGTAGATTGCTGAAAGTTAGCCACATTCCCTAGAGTGCAAAGAGCCTTAAGTAAAGAGGTTATTAGTATGCAGTTCTTCCCTTGTTGAGTAAGTGAACAGATAATATATTTTTTTATAAAGGGGAAGAGGAAAAAAAGAGGGTAGAAATGGCTATGAATGAGTTATAATCTGAACCACAAGAGATCTGCTATTTCATTATGAATAACCAAGTTTGTGTTGGCTTTCTGTTCCCTTGGAGTTTCTCATACCTTGCTGACTGGACTGTTTTTCTCTTGCCTTCTCAGTCTCTGCAGGTGGGTGTTGGTGAGGTAGCTTCCTTACCTGGTTATCGGCAGCAGGGCTGGCTGACTGCTGGCTTGCAGGTTCTTTGGTCAGCAGCTTGTTTTGTGGACTCTAGGAACGCCTAGAAGAAAACTGCAGCATCCCTAAGCCATCTAATTACAGGAGAGATTTACAAAGGGAAGCATGGAGATGTAAGGAATATCTAGGGAATATTTAAGGGCCTAAGAGATATGGATGTAGGGATGTGAAAATGCACAAGCTTGACAAGGTAGAGAATGTTTATGTTATGTCATTGCCTGAGAAATCAACTTCATTGCCTACAGGCAGCCTAAACATTCATAGTGAAAATATCAGTTTTATTCTCTGGAAAGCCTGACCTATCTCCCAGGACCCACTAACTCGACTGCAGTGTCATTTCAACACAGCTGTACTTTTGGGACGTGTTCAGCACTTTGTCAAGCCAGATAAACAGATGGGTCTAAGGGCTTGACAATGAGTCATCTCCTTTTCACTTGCTGATGTGACATTACTGCTCATCTCTGACTTAGAGGATTCTCCAGTCATCCTGTGTTGCACCTAAATTGGTGCTAGGGCTCTGGGGAGCACAGTCTGGAGACACCCAGTGTGCCTGAGGGAGCCAGATTTTGTTCTGAAGTGATGAACTAATGTTAAGAACTGATAGATCTAGACTGATAACATGGTTGATGTGCTTTTTTTTTGTTTGTTTTTCCTAACTATCCATCACAGCATCTCTGTCACCAGCTTTATCCAGGATATGCTGAAACCATATTCCCTAAATGCAGGTGCAGTCATTCTCCAAAAACAAAACAAAAACCCTAAGTGCAAGAAAYAGGAATGATTTGACCTTGCCCTCGATCAGTTTTCCATTTGAGATAAGCTCCGTGGAAGCCCATCTTTCAGAAGCCCAGTGTCTTCTGGATTGTCCTATTGAAGATGGTGCTTTCACCTAGCCACGGTTAGGAGGATGCCCCTGTTTGAGTTCCTGACTTGCAGGCATCTACCAGTTTGATTTACTGCTCGTATTCCACTTCAYTCTGTTACGTGGTGTTTAAGTAAAATTATATTTAAATGGTCTGCATGTTTCTACGTATCCTGCGCAGACTTGTCTGGAATTTAGTGTCCTTGCTGTATTAAAAGTTCACTGAAATCTGTGTTTCTGATGTGCAACTGGCTCTACAGACGAGCAAATCTGAAGTCCCTTGCTTGGATGTTTGGGTTATTTTGGGACGACTTTTTCTTTTTTTTTAATGTTTGTGTGTTTTTTAATCCTAGATCTGAACCGTATGATCTGAATAGAGGTGCTGAGCAGTCGTAGTGGGATTGAGGGATATCTATGTTTTGCTTCTTCCTCATGCAAATAAACAGCACTATTTACCAAAAACACTGATGATCACCGATTTGCTAAGAAATTCTTTTGTTGGGCAAGAGCAATCACTTGGCATATCCCTCTTTCTCAAGAGGCGTGTAGAAACCAACAGGCAATATGGGGCTATCCCATGCTTCATCTGTTACTCAGATGGTTATTTTTTAATAGGGTTGTTACTGGCTTGTGCTAGTATTGGACACTCTACTGTTAAGCAATTCCACTCCTTCTTGCTTATGCTACCTCACTTCTCTTTGGGGCCTCTTTGTATATTCATATTCCCAGTCAATGCAGTGCAAATGCAATTCTTTGCTGCTAGGAGTGGGAGATGCCAAAGAACTTATGAAACTACAAATATTTCTACTCCTGTCCCATCTGGTAAAAATACAAATATTTCTACTCCTGTCCTATCTGCCCTGGTAGATGCCAGACTTCTTGGACTTCCTTTGTCAGTATGCGAAGAAACGCCCTGAGGTGAGATTTCTTCCCAAGAGAAGTACTTCCAGACAGGAGAGTGAAGAGTTGTTATGTGGGGAATCACTCTTACATATGTGTTCAGCCACACATGCTCATCCTGAAGTAGTTAACCCTTAGACCAGGTTGCTTAATCAGAATTTGCACTCTAAGGATAAACTTTGCCTTCAGTTTCCTCTTTTCTGAAATTGTCCAGTAAGTGATCACCTTTGAGAAACAGCTAAGTACCCTGAGATCTATTGCACTCATTTAGCTGGATTTTTTTTTTAATCTGTTGAATTTTTATGGCAAGCAGGAATAGCAAACTTTATTACAAGAAATGATTAAGTGGAAAGTAACTTTGAAAAGCTGCTATTATTATTATTATTATTATTATTATTATTATTATTATTATTATTATTATTATTATTATATCTTCCTCCCATCTTTCCAGGCACAGCGTCTGTCAACACTGTCCCTTCAGTACGAGAAGAGATTAACAGATGAGCAGAAAGGAGGAAGGAAGAAAATAAAGCTAGTCAGCAATCGGGTATGTGTTTTTATGCACATATGTCAACCCTTAGAGTATTGAAGCTGCAGAATGTAGTAACTCGAAATTTCCAGGCAGACACTGGTACCAGTGCAATTATATCAATCCCCCACAAATGTAAGTGTCCAACTCTGCATATCTGAAATCTATTTCTATCCTGTTCAGGTCGTGGGGCTGGATAGTGTGCTTTTTAATCGACTGTAGAGCCTCAAAGAGCACAGCTGAGCAGTTGTGCTTGYGAAGGTGGTCACATCCTAACCCTATATGTGGGTTTCTGTTGTGCATTATGTTTGCACTTGTGTGTTATAGTTGTATGCTGTTTTTCAAAGATGATTCAGAACCACGGGTAATTCATTACACAGCTTGCTGCTTGAATCTCCTGCTTCAGATACCTGTGCAGGTTTTTTCTTTTTAGATAAATGGACATTACYGGGAGAAGAGCTCCCACTAGATTTGTGTTTCTTCCGTGGCATTGAAGTTCTTGGATTTCTTTTCAGAAAATAGCACATGGGGACATGCTTTTCTGGATGGTGACCATTACTGCATGGGACATGCTAACGTGTTGGTTGAAAGCATTGCTTTGTGTTAAGTGCATTCCTTAAGTCTCAAATCATCCTATTTACTAAAAAGTCTTCCTGTCTTTTCAGCAAACAGATAAGATAGTAGACCAGACTGAACCAACAAAGGCCAGGGCTACATCATACATTGCAACAGTGAAGGAAACCTTAAGCCAAGAAAACTATGATCTCTTCTCAAAGGCTCTTCAGCACTACAAGAAAACAGATGACTTCAATGCTATGTTATGTCAAATGAGCTCCCTTTTTATAGAGGATCAAAAAAAGCATGTCTTGCTGCGAGGTATTATGACTTCTCTGGTAGCTGTATGACCAAGCCTTTGTCTTTTAAATAGTTGTCTTTGTTTCACAAGGAAATATTTTACCTTTGAAGTAAGGATTGATCAAGATGATAATTGTTGATGTTTGTCAATTTATATTGCCTCATTGTAGAGCAAGTGCGTTACCAGTCTAGTTATCACACCCTGGTTTGCTTAATAATTCGCCTAAAATAGAGTAGCTACATCCCATGGAAAAAATGTGTTATTTTAAAATCATAAGTATAGCTTATTTCCTGTGATTTAGGAGGTAAGATGAAGAGTATGGTTGTGAGGAGTTGGATATATGCATTGAGAAGAGTTCAGTGTTAAGACAGCAAGTGTACAGAATAACTACATAAATTTTATATTTAAATAATGGTGAGTATGAAGTAAATGAGTGTAGGCAAATGTAGCTTTATGGATTTACCTGCTAGTTGCCTGGATTTTTAAGAAGTGTGTTGAGAGGAACGTAGATTCCCACCAACATTTTAACAATGAATTTTTTCTCTGATTTTTCCTTTTCCCCTTAATTTGGTCAAATTGGCTTTGGAAAGAGGAAGGGAGCTGTTTAAYTAGTGAGAAAGAAGAGTGTTGCCATTGCTGAAAGTCAGCACTTCTGTTGACCTGCCARCATTTCTTTTCAATAGCTGATGCTCTGTGATAATAGTGCACACATTACAGCATTACAGCAGGAAACCAGAGCAACTGCAAATCCCATGAAGGAGCCAAGACAGATTTTTCTGGCTTCTATCAACTGAAAAAAAAATCAAAAAGAAAAGCCATTTCTGTAAATGCCTCTAAATTAAGAGATGAGAAGCTCCCTGTAAGTACTTAGCACTAATAGCAGCCACAATTTGTTTCCCCAATATATCTGTCTTACTGTATAAATAAGAAAACTTCTAAAAACCAAATTAAGGTAAAAGTCGGAGTCTAGATTACAAAAGCGACGGGTACCTGAAGTCTAAAGTTCATTTGACTTGTAGTGACATTTAGGCTAGTGGTAAGCAGCCAGTTTACAGTGGAGTAATATGAGCAGTAAAATGAACTGCAGGCCGTTGTTTTTCTTTGCAACCTGCCTAACTGAATCCTTTGAGCACCACAGTTTGTGGGGTTGCTTGCTTTCTTTTTTGCAAGTACCTGTTTCACAGATAGGTAAAACTACTTACATATTTACAATAGAAAAAATACAGTTACAACCTGCAGTTATTGCAGGAAGACTGAACTGTATCTAACTGTACCTTTTAAGTGTGGTTATTGTATAAACTACTAGATAATTTTATTTATCTGTACTTCTTGAATTTTCCTTCTAAGAAACCTTGCTATCATAAGTGTCTCTGCTGTTTCCCTATTGTGGACTGATCTATTTCCCCTCTGTTTAATGAAAGAATTTTACCAGTTTGTTCGACCTCAACATAAAAAGCAGTTTGATGAAGCTTGTTGTAATCTGACTGGAGTGGGCTGTGGCTACAAACCTGAGCACAGCCTCCGGCGAGAGCAGCGAGAGATACCGGCCAGCAAAACAGGTGAGAAGTTTATTTCCAGCACCGTGCAGGCTGCTCTGTCCTTTGGGGGACTGTGGCCAGTCGCACAGCAAGACGCATCTAAGATACAGGAATGTCAGATTGGAAAGCAGTTTTGATTAAGCAAAATTGAAATAAGTAGCTAAGACTCCAAAACACGAAGAAACAGACATGTTCTGTACACAAAAGTACAGAAGAGAGGGCAGTCATGTCATTGCAAAGCTTGTGAGGTCTTTGAAACACTGGAAAARTAGATTATAAAAAAGCAGGGTCTTGTCTCTAACCTCTCTTACCAGAGGAATATATCTGTATCTCGAAGTATAGCGTGACACACCTGGAACACAGAATGATGCTTTTCATTCTTCCCTGAGGTCTCTGTTAATGGACTGATCTGATTTAACAGCAGAAAAGCAGAGCCAGCMGAAAACCACATTCTCCAAGGACTCCTGCACTCAGCTAGACCCCGGGCTCCACTTGAACAAGGGAGGATTCCACCTAGCAACAGGACTCAATAGTGCAGGTACACCTCGTGGTAAATAAAAGCATAATTCCAAGTTAATATATACTGTGTTTTATTGTGTCGCTTTCTGGTCCCTAGCAGAAAATTTACAGTGTTTTCTGCATTCATATARCACAAGTGTACATAATTTCTGCATGCACCCTCTAATCTTATACTGTCCAGTGTTTCCTTTTGAAAATCAAAGGTCAATTCTGATTTGATTGCATGATCTTCCTGAGAATATGTAGGATATTTTTCTAAATATTTCTAACAAAGAAACAAGTAGGGTAGTTACCACTTAATTCATTAAATTTTAATTTGCTGGAATCATTTCTTTGTTTTAATTTTCCTGACTGATTTTTTTCTATGGAAAAGGATTATATCAGCTTAGATTTACCTTCCTTAGGGAATAGAGAGTAGCCTGAAGCTAATCTTGTCTTTAAAAAAAAAAAAAAAAAAAGCTTTCAGTTTTTCTTGGAAGGCTTTAAAAGCTTTTCAGGTATGAAACCATGCTGTTTATTTGGATTTATTTTCCTTTTTTTTTTTTTTTTTTTTTTTTTTTTTTTCTTCTCTCTGTATTTTAAAGGCATCTGAATAAAAATAGGATCTTTGGAAATATCTTTGTCCTGAGATTGCTTTTCATTGAAATTTGTTTCTAATAAAAATAATTAAGGGAATTATAGCAAGAAATGTATTATGTGACTCATTCCCTATGTACATTGTGCTCCTCTAGTAGTGTTAGAAAGCTGTATGGTATGTACAGAAGTTACTGATTATAAAGTTAACACCATGTGTCTCCTCTTTCAGTTACAGGACATGTAAYGGAGTCCATCTTTTCAAAGTAATTTGTTATCTGTGGCAAAGAACAGAGGTCTAAGCACAAAAAGATGTGGCTCTTTAATTTAATCAATTTCCTGTAGCATAATTCTCTATATTTGTGTGATTTAATATGCAAACCACAACCTTTTCTCTTAAAATCCACAAGCAACTTTTCTGTGCTGACATCTGCTTGGAGGTTAGCAGGATGTGCTTAACTGCTCCTATTTAATTGTACTATTTCATTTGTTATTTTAGACTAGTAATTTGAATGTATGCTTTCCCATCTGAATAAATAMTGCCTTTTCCCCTTTCTTAATAAGGAAGGATAAATCTACCATTAAATTCAGTCTCACCATTTACTTTCCCATGTGGCAGGCCAGCCTAGTTGGCTAAGCCAGCTATTTGTAATGCTTCTACTTCAAAGAAATGCAGTACTAAATGTTATTTTTGCTGACCTCCATGCACAAGTGGGTTTTTTGTGACCTTTTGTCATTCCTCAGGGACACATTTCTCTATTAAAGCAAAGCGCAAGGGAATTGTGAAGGTTCCAGAAGGATTCCGTGGAATAAATTTGTCCAGTCCTGTTGGCAGGAGCAGGACTTGGCTCTGGCCAAGGCCACGTCAGGTTGTGCAGACATTACTGCTTTAAAATTGCTCTGCACCGCCCTGCTCCATGTGGAGAGCAACACATGGATGCAAAGGGCTCGTTCCCTTCCAAGAGCTGCTCACGTGGATTTTGTCTCCTAGGGAAAAATCCCAGCCAAGCCCCAGGGAAAGATGCTGAAAAAGCTTCGAGCTCCAGGAGAGATGATCACCACCAGGTGCTGAGGGCTAYGTATCTCAAGGATGTGAAAAAGGCTTTGAATCAAAGCTCCTACAACCGTTTCTATGAAGCATTGCTGGCTTACAAGAAGACAGATAACTATGATACCATGGTATCGGTGATAGCGGCCCTCACCACCGAGAGGCCTGAAGACTTTCATCTCCTGCAAAGTAAGGGACATGAAATGCTTTGTATTTAATTCAAAAGAAGATACAGGTGCTGTGTTCTCTTGTAAGCACTGACCCCTCACTYGTTATTTGAAGTTAGCTTGAAAACTCCACTTTTTTGGATAAGCTTTCAGCATTGGCAAAATATTTGTGCCTGTTTTGTTTTCAAGCCGAATAGATGGAACCAGCTGTAGTATACGTAATGTCATTTAAGATTGAAAAATGGCAAAGTTATATTTCTTCTGCATCTCCAGTTTAGGAATTATCTTCTTTAAAATAATACTTAAAACTGGGATAAGACCTCAGTAACTCCAGTCCTAGCCTTCAGTCGAGCCTTCRCTCTGATGAATCAATCTGGCTTGATTAAGAGATGTCTCCATCAAGGAAATATTACATGTGCAATGTAAAATGTCAGTTCCACCTTCTCCCATGTCTCATTTGTAGGAGGTTATGCATAAGGCACATGCTGGGAAATGCTGAAATGATTTCCCCTGTTCTCTGCAGGAAATGATAAATATTTTATTGGTCTAGACCAACAGACTGGTCAAAGACTCATCCAATTTTTAGAAAACAGTTTTCTGTACTGCATAAACTAATCAAATTCATGATATAGTGAAGAGCGAGAAAGAAATGAGCTGTGTGTCACTGTGAGTCATAATCCTTTCCTAACAGCGAGTTGTTATCTCTAGGGAACTAATACGTTCACCTCGGAGGGCTCCACTGTGGGACTCTCCATGCTTGGCAATAAATGGTACTCGGGTTTTCTTGGAATTTCTGAGCACGTGTTTTGAATCCTCAACCAAGCAGACAGTAACGAGAGACTAGTTTTCTGGAGAAAGGCCTTTCAGATAAGTGTCTGCTTGGTTTAGCTAGATCAGTCGCTTGCTGAAGCGCCAGATCCGCTATCTATGGTGAGCTGTAGAGAGTGGAAGAACCTCCAGGCAAGCCGATGGTTTCCACTACCAACCATTCACCTACCTTCTGGCAAGGAAAAGCCCCTAAGTGTAAAATCAACAAAACAATCAAGTGTTCCACCACGCTGATGATACTCTAAAGAATACAGTCGATGTTGCTCAGCTTCCAAAGCATCAAACATCCTGCTGCCAGGCATTGATTTGTCCTGTGTATTCGACTGTGTTTTCTTYTGGGCAGGGTTTTACATGTTTGTGCGCCCTCACCACAAGGAGCAGTTCAGGCAGATGTGTAAAGACTTGACGGGGATGGTCTGCGGCGAGGGGCAGAAGCAAGTGCAACAGCAGCTGCAAAAGGAAGGCAGCACGGGCCCCACCTTGAAGAACTGGTGCACGAAGGCAGAAGATGACAAAACTCCAAGGAAAGCTCCCAGCCATGCACCAGGTTGGGAATGAGCATTTCTTAGTTTTATTTTTACTAGTGTTACTGGGTAGAGTCCAAGAGCCTTAGTTGTGGGCTCCCTGCGCTAGGTTGTGTGAAGGACGGTGGAAGCAATTGGCCCTGTCCAAATAGCATGAAAAGTGAGTATAAGAGGAGACAGAGGGTGGAATATAGATGGGGAAGTGCAAGGGTACAGGAAGAAAATCAATTACAGTGCAGTTTCCCTTAAAAAGTGCAGTGATTTTATGGCTGAAGGCAGACACTTGCACCTATAYGGCTGCAAGAGTAGATCGAGTAGGTTCCTCCTAGTGTATCTAGGAGGAATTTACCACAGAGCTATTTCAGTGTAAAAGCTTTTTTCAGTAATAATGTTATAGGTAAATAACAGAAGCTTCCGTTATCAGTGTGGCTTACAAAAATAGTTACTTAAGTTGTGTGTATGTTGGTGTTTTGCCACTTTTTCTTGTTTTGATTATTATTATACAGTGAAAGCTCACTGGGAACTACTGCTAATAGGCTCTTTACAAAATGCCCTGTATTGTGCCCTTTGTTGCCCTGCTCTGCATGATGTTCTTTCTTTGCTCCCATGCAGATGCTTCCAAGAGCGAGATGCCAGAGAAAATTCAGAGCAAGATTTCCTCCTTCTGCTTTAGTCAGGAAAGCAAACCTGAACTGCCAAAGACAGAAGGAGCCAAAGGAACCGGCCACGTGAGAGCCACCCCAAGCTCTGGAGCTCTGCCCATTTTTCCCCCACAAATGGAGCCAGAGTTTGGTACGTATAGGTGAGGGGTTGGGTGCAAATCTCCCCAGTTCACCAGAATAGGATAAATTACATAAAATGAAAATTATGTCATGGTACTGATTAGCGTGACATGCCACATGGMATTTGTACTTTCTGCTTATCGCATCTGCTCTGTTGGAGGACTGCTTTTTCGTTAGCCTGGTGATGTAATGGTTTCCTGAGAATTTAGAGATTTTTCTTGTCGACTTCCTTGTAATGCAAGGATGTAATCTCAGTTTCGGAGCGTGGATTTGAAGCGTAGAGAATGAGCAAGGCCATGTGAAAGAAATAACAYGACAGAGACTTCTTAAAATGCCCTGAATGTAGCCTTGGTCTTTGTCTTCCGTAGTGCACCAGATGCATATATGTGAGAAATGCACGTGTTACTGGAATGTAGTCATTCTCCTCTTCCCTCTCTCTCTCTCTCTCTTTCTTCCTCTCGCTTGCTTTTCTAGGAAGATTCTACTGCTCTAACTGCAGATCTGAGGATGATGTGCCTTTTAAATGCCCATTATGTGCCTTCACGTGCTGCAAAACATGTTGGGAGCAGGTCTTACAGGTTATCTTGTTACTGATTTCAGTGTTTTCTAAATCCRCTAGTGGAATTCTGTGTTTTTGAGGAGAACCATGTGGAAATCCATGGAAATGTACATTTACATTTTCCGTGTAAATGTACATTTACATGGAAATGTCATTTCTCTGTTTAGACAAACAGCCAAGCAAACAAACACAAATCACGATGAAAGGTTTACTGCCAGAGCATCTCTTCTGGCATTTCCATGCTCTTCAGCTTGATTGAAGGCAGGGTCCTGCTGTGATTTGGACATTCTATGCAATTTTCAGAGCTGTTTCCAGGTGTTTTCCTTCCCAGATCAATTCAGACAACAGGCTGTAGACATCAACTGGAAAAAAAAGATTCTTTTGTACAGCTGAATCCTTGTTGAAATATTTTTTCCTTGCCTAGTTCCATTATTCTTTCCCTTGTAAAAATCTCCTGTAAGGCACTGTTGTGAGATAATGGCAAATTCGCGCTCGTTATCCTGTCCCCCTGTCTTCCTGGCTGAATAAGCTCTTGGTTGGGATTCCAGTCCTTTGGATGAGAGGATGTAAGTGATGTCTCAGTGCACGTGCTTGGCAGCGTCTTACACAGCACTTGATTCCCTCCACTTGTGTTTTGGAGCCCCGTCAGTGATGATTATCTGTGACCCTCGACGCTGAAGTGCAACCCAAGAGCAGTGAGTAGTTTTGTAGGTGGTGAAAGGGCTGTTAATCAGTAGAGCTCAAGGAGCTGCAAAAACAGGGAGAGGGAAGAGAAATTTCTCTCATCTTTGAACCTACAAGCAAATATGCAATAAACAGTCCTTTCGATTCCAGAGAAAGGCCTATTTCTCGGGAAGAGGATGCTGAATACGTCAGCTGAGAGTAGAAAATAAACAGCACAGAACCCAAAAAAGTACAATAATCGAGGCTGGCTTGGTCTGATAGCAGCATAGAAAGAATATGGGACAGCACAACACCACCAAAGGAAGGCACCTCGCGTTTGTCCCTTGCAGATTGGAAAACCAAACCAGTTACCTGCTTTTGGGTACCCAATTGCTCCTCCTGTGACAAAGCGTAATCAGGCTGTCAAACAATCGTGCATTTTAGAAGCATTTCACGGTGCTTTTCCTGAACTGAATGCCTTGAAGTTCACCTTTAGAATGTGTCTTCCTCTGTTTTCCCGTCTCTGATTGCCTCTATCCCAACTAACTAAACTTTTGCAAGTAGCCCAGTAYAGAATCCCCTCTTGCTTTCTCTTGATTTTGCTAAAGATGCCTATTGAGGTTCCARGATTGAGAAAGACAAATCAATATCTGCTCTTTCATGAGCAATGTGTCTGCTTCAAAGAATACTCTACTTCAGGGAAGAGTCGTGCCAAGAATTTTTTTTTTTAGTATGTGTTTATAATCTGTGATGCTGAAGAGGAAAGCTGACTGAGGAACAGAATTAAAGATCTGGAGAGTTTAATGATAAGGTATACACTCATAATCCCACAGGGAAATTTTTGCATTATCTCAACCCGTAAAAATCTGCACTGTAAATCTCTGAGGAAGAACTCTTTTTGCCAGCAAGATGTAACTTGTAATTATTATTTTTGCTGGCTTACGGATTCACAGAAGTGAAACTGTCGTACATTTGAGCATTTGCACTGGCTTGTATTGAATTTAGTAAATTGAAGGTCTGGATTTTATCTTAATCCCCAGATTAATTGGCCTTTTCATAGTTCATAAATTACAAAACCCGATGAGGTGTTTTAAAAATCACTCTTTGTGATTGTTGTAGACTGGGAGGTTAAAGTGTCTTTGATTTGCTAGATTAGCCTTATTTCAGGTAGCCAATATAAAATCTTATCTGGGGAAATTGGTCAGTCCCTGTCAATGCCATTGGTTATTAATGACTTCTGCATTTACTGCATCGCCAGAGTGATCTTGCAGGTCACGGGGGAACTTGATTCCCCATTTTGCCAGCTGAAGGCAGGGGCAAGAAAATACCTGGTTTCCTTAGCAAGACGGAAGCTTGCTTTGTGGTAGCATAATACAGTTCTTTGGGGAGAAACTCTGATAAAGAACAAAAAAAAAAGGCAAACACAGTTTAAAGAAAACATGAGCATAATCACAGACATACTGAGTCAGGTGGAAGTCACCCAGCCTCTTGATGGGTGGCCAAAAGAAGATGCCTAGGAAAGAATCCAACAGCATGGCAAGCACAGCGGATGATTCTTCCAAGCACTTTCTTGGCTCAGCAAGCTCTCGGTTTGTTCTTCAGAATAACCCTTGCAGCTCCCAGAGCCAAAAAAAAAGATCAGTCCAAGTTCCCCAAACCTAGAGAAGCAATCTCCTAATAATCCCATCCCTATTCCTGTCCGTGTCTTGGTTTGTTGAGTCCCTTCCTAACAGTGGTGGGATTTTATGGCAGAGGGAACCTCACCAGCAGGAAATGAGCAACCATCCCYTTGTGGTGCCTGTGCTGCCAACTCTCATCAGATAATATTGGCTTTGTCACCTCTGACGAGGCTGGATTTGAAGATTGATTATTCTTTGACAAGTTACTCACCGTGTTTCTTCAGGTTAAATTCAATTTCAGGTTTATTGTCTTTATGAAGGAAGTGACTAACAGGCCGTTCTTCAAAAAGGTGATGACTTGTTTTTGCAGATTGTGATGTCCTTTCCAAATTGATGTTTTTATTGTAACAGCTGGGGCACTCGGTGAATAATTCTGAACTATTTGGGAAGCTTTCCAGGAGCACAACTGATTCGGGGGTTTTTAGAGGGATTAGTGACAGTGAGGTGGATGCTTTTCACTGTGTTTGATGAAACGGAGGATGCCAACATATACTCCTTCCTTAATTAGAAGTACAGAGGCCTTAGCTGTCTATTTTAGTGTTGAAATATATCATTTATTTGGGCTCTTCTACCAGAGCACAAATATTCCAGAGAAACTGTTGCTTGCTCTCGTTTTTATGCTATCTGCAGTATGGGCAAATAACCACTGACACTGGTGCTGTCCTTCCAGTAAGGACCGCTTCAGCATTTCAACGTATTGAGCTGATAATACTGCCTTTCTTGCAAATATATATGTTTTTAATTGTCTTATTCTTGAAGTAAGCAAAGCATTTTCACTCCACCAGTAACTATTCTTAAGAATAAACAGAGGATTAGTCAGAATTAATTTGTAACCTGTTTTGTTCTGAACTAGATGCTAAACTCTCGCAAGAGCATTTCCTTTTTGGAGTATGAAAAGGATGATTTGGGCTCCTCGGGGGGGTCAAATGACTAAAACCAGGTTCTGAAAAATCGGGATGAATTAAGAAGGAAACCAGATCCTGCACGGAGGCAAAGGTTGCCCCACGCGCTGTCCTTTGCTCTTCTCCTCGACGGGTGTGTGGTGGCGGGAGGAACTGCTTGTACCTTGTTCRAAAAGCTGTTAGTCACAGCCACGCTGTCGCTGATGTCCTGCAGATCACTTCCTCCAGCACGGAGCAGAAGGAAGTCGGAGTTCAGGGAACTCTTCTGTGATCTTACGGGATTTCACTAATACCACATACTTCTAAACTTCACAGCAGCTCTCGCAGGCTCTGCGTTTCCTCGTTCCTGTATTTTAGCCTTCCAGAAATAGAGCTGTAATTCACCTCAGGTAACTGCTCTAAATGCTTGTTACCACTTCACTGGGAAGCTTTTTCCCCTCCTTTTATTACTAGCCGTTAAATGACTGCACAGTGACACTGCATTTTAAAATAGACAGGTACACCATCTTGGGCACTGTCTCTTATGGCTCGCATGGCTCATATTTCATATTGGATGATTACAAACTTAATAGAGAAATTTAATAAATATTCTATGTGTTTTGTTCGTTTACTTTTATAGATGATGAAGAAGTGTCCAGAGTGCCAGAGTGATGTTAAGAGGAAGCAGTTAATCCAGGTTTTCTTCTGGTCATAATGTCGTCGAGAGAAAGGGCAAGTACTTTCTAACAGCAAAAAACGATTGGATTCTGAGTCTGAAGGGAAGCTGGTTGAAGGCTCATTGAAATGAACCCTGGCTCTGGACAGCATGCCATGCACCATGACTTCACATAGCATTTTCCCATCCAATACTTACCAAATCTGAAAGATTTGCCTCTTCTTCATCATCGGCAGAAGACAAGACAGTATTGCCCTCCATTAGAGCAAAGCRGCTGAATTTCATGTTATTTTAGCCTGTAGTGACTTCTTTGGGGCTGAATTTTTATATCCTGAGGCAGTCATCGTTAATTATCCCTTCAGGTAACATCAGATCCTGGAAAATCCCCTAGCAACAGCACTACGGTGGAATTGAGCTGGTCTAGTGAGGAGGCCAGAGTGCCCTTCCCTACCAAACGGGTCTTCCTGGAAGAAGTGATTCATGTTCTCCTGGTGCTTGGCAGCAGCTGCTGTTTCTAATAGCATCAGACGTGGAAAGACTCATTTTTATTTTTGTTTTTATTTTTTCCCCCCAAGTAGAGAAAAGAGCCAATTCATTTTAATCTTCAAAATAAATGAAGTTGGAAAGGGTAGGGGGCTTCATATTTCCGCTCTCTGTGAGTAGTGGGTATTAATATTTTCTTAAATTGTATCAATTTTAAATCTTCAGTGGTTACTTTAAAATAAGCTGTAAGTAAAAAATGTTTTTATATCCTAGGTTGTATTTGTGGGTTTTTTTGGCATATATAAATATGTTCTTTTTTTGCATATATAAATAAATTAGTATTGTTGATTAGTCTTGCGGCTTTTGTGAAAAGGAACGACTGGTTGTATCACTTGTGTTCAGAATTTCCTGGGGAAAAAAATACCCTCTAGGTGGATTTCAGGCGTGGAATTTTGGCAAGGGAAAGATGAGAAGTATCCTAACAAGTTATCGAAGATYCCTCTGTTTAGAGAGAGGAAGGTGGCGCAGGGCTGTCCGCGCTGGCCGTGCACCTCGGTGCCGCTGCCGCTGGAGGGAGGTGGCAGCCCGGCCCGGCCCTGCTGCCACCGGCCCCGCTGGCTCCGCACGTGGCTTYGCCTGCCTTTCCCTAAGGGAAACTGCTGGGAGCTCCACGGCACGGGAGGATCCCGCAATTGCTCGGCAAGCGGAATAAAAGGTATGTGTGATGTGATGGAGCAAAAGGTCTGATTTTTCCACCACCACAACCCCAACCACGGTAGTTTTATAGCCCTACAGCCTTTCCTGCCAGGGTGTCTACTGCTCCCATTTGGGATCAGCTTTGCGGCAGCGTCCCGCAACCTCTTTGAGGGTAAGACCTAACCTCAGACTGGTCTCCTCTCCCCATAGGAGTTCCTCTGGGTTTACAGCTTAAGCTGCTGAAACCGATGGTGGTTTAAACCTGTGCTAAAACTACCTGTGGTGGTAGGAGGCAATTCTGACCTGGAAGTTAGGTCTCACTGGTGAAGAGTGAGGTCTGTGGCAGGYTCCCTGTTGCATTACGTGACCTGCCATCAGACCTCGAGCCCTTTCCTTCCCGTTCTTTCAAAATCTGTGCAAAATGCCTGGGCAAAATCCTCACAGGCAGCGGGTTGCTCAAGAAGCCCTTCTCAAAGGGCTGCACCCACCTTTCCTCTCTGTCTTCAAAGCAGCCTTCAAAGCCTTTTAGGTCACTCAAAGTCTTTTAATGACCCTGGTATGTTCTTCCTAAATGTGTTTAGAGTAAGGTAGGAAGGAGCTTTTCAATAGAAAAGTTGTGTTTCCCATTGGAGTCTTGAGAGGGTCATTTGGGAGGAGGGACGTTTGTGAGCAGGGATAACGGGCGGCTCCTCCGGGCTGGGAATCTTCATCCTCCACCTGCAGTTGTGTTGCCCTTGCTGCCACCTGCGCACGTGTGTGAACGAGCACCCCTGCATCCAGGGAACCCTTGGAGAGGAGCTCCAGGACTCCCGGAACCGGATCAGGATGCCCTGCAGGAGATGCAGAGCAAGCTTTCGTCAGCCCGAAACCCGTTGCTTTTACAAGGAAAGACACATAGTGCGTATTTATGAAGACCAGAAAATGAAAATAGATTGGTACTGAGTTACAGGAACTGCTCCAAAGTGCAAGTCTTTGGGGAAGAAAACCTCTAATGGGCACTCCTCTGATTTTTGGGAAGCAAATGACACACGAGCCTATGCATCATGGAGGAAATGGATATTAATCCCTCTGCATTGCCCCTGCCTTGCAGTGGCATGACCGCATCAGCAACAGAGCATTCAATTCTAGTCACTGAAAAAAAAAATGGTTTTTCCTCTATTTTCTTAATCCTATCTGACAGACAGACAGGAGAAGTCAGGAAAAACACTGTGGTACCAGGAAAGAGATGAACGGTGCCCTTGTTTGGGGACGTGACTGCTCAGGGATGGCATGGGATCTCTTTGCCTTTCAAACTTTACTCTGTATAGCAGTGAGAAATGTGAATTCTTGCAAAAAAATAGTTGTGGAAAGTGCTGCTTCTGGCCACCCTGGAGCTCTACATCTATTGCAGCCTACCTGCTCACCTAGGAAAAGAGAAAGGTTTGTTGTTTTACCAGATTTATCTTAAAAGCAAAGGTTTGCACAGGGAAGATGTGGCATTTTGCTCTGCAGGAACCTTAATGACACCTTTGCATCGTTATTCAAATTGAATGCAAAATARCCACTACCTGGCCTGCAGGTTGCGGAGGAGCCGCGTGCTCGTCCCCGACGCGGTGCGTGCGGCTCTGTGCCTGCTGCAGCCACTGCCAGGGCTTTACCCCAGCATTTGCTTCATGTGTCTGGGTTGCTCTGTCCAAATTACAGGTTTCAACAGCTGTCCCGAAAAAAAACAGAGTTTTTCTGAGCTGGGTTTATCTATTCAACCTACTCAGGAGTCCGCAGAAGTCTAGATGAGGTGTTTTCTGCCCCAGTTTCTTGGAAAAGCCTCAAGGAGTCAGGAAAAGAGAAGATAACAGATTAAGGTCCCTATGAAAACCGTGATAGAAAAGGGGATAGGRAAAATTTCCAGCTATTAGAAAAGGAGATGTGCTGGTTTTGCACTGAACTGTAAAAGGCGCCAGACTGAACCTCGGATGGGAGCTCTCGGGTAAGCTCTCCCGTTCCGTCCACGGATGCAGCCGGGTGGGTTGGCTGAGCAGAAGCCTCTTTCCAAGGAATGCGTCCCCATCGCAGGAGGAGCGCAAAGTCACGGTGCTCCAAGCAGTTGCATCAGGTCAGTGATTAAATAAATCAGATTGAGGAAGCGGAGCCCCAGGCGCRGGGCTGCCCCTCGCCAGGATTGCATTCAGAGGCTGCACGTGTGCGCACGAGGGAGATAAACTGCAATAAAGGAGATAAACAGCAGTGAAAGTCACTTGTAGAGGGCAGCCCGTAAAAGCCGGCTGCTCTTACGGGGCCGGGCATGATAAAGCAGTTACCAGCAATGTTTCAGGGCAGAGCAAAGTCCCTCTCAAAAGGCCAGACCCAGATGTTGGGAGCAAAGCGYTCCAAAGCCCCCGGCGCCTGTTTGTGCTGCGGCTCCAATCCATATATTGCCCACAAAGAGCTGCAAATCCCACTCCTGGGCRTGAGTACCAGCTCTTTGTTTCTGTGCTGAGGGTTGGATCTGGTATTACGGAAGCCCAGAGCTCGGATCTGTGTCATTAAATCACTCCAGGGATTTGCAAAGGACGCGGGAAGCTCGCGGGCACCTGGGCAGAGAGCAGCCACCTTCTGCAGCGTCCTCCCCGCGGCTCCTTGGTGTCTCCACACACGTGCCCTTTGCACTCTGAAAAGCAAAAATCCACAATTCAGTTCTGGCTGTTCGGGCACAGCAAAAGCACTGGGGAATTCTGCATGGCGGGAGGAGAGGACATGGGGATCAGCGGCTGCTCCCATAGGTGAGGGCAGCRCAGAGCCGCGTCTCGGTGGCTCCAAGGACATTCCGAACGCGACCAGCCCTGGCGCTGCGCTGCCCGGTGCAAAAGAGACACCAGAGACGTCGCGCCCAGGAGCGCGGCCRGAGGAGGGTCCCGAGGGGCCGGGCGATGGTGGCCGCGAGCGGGAGCAAGGCAGGGAGGCTGGGGAAGAGCTTTGGGGCAGGAGCTGCCGCTGCCGACCAGGCTGCAGAGGGGACGGAGCCAGACCCGCCTCGGGGGGCCCGGGGAAGGGATGAGTGCGGAGCAACAGCCCAAGGTTCAGCAAGGGAATTTCCAAGGGGAGCTAAGGAAAGAAATGGTGGCTGTGGGAWGGTGAGCGAGCTCCGTGAAGGGGACTAAATGGGGGGGTCACTGTCCTTGGAGCTCTCCAAAGCCCAGTAGGACAAGTTGAGCCCAAAGAGAGGGGAGAGAGGGAGGGAAGGAAGGTGGCAGCTGCTCCACTCCTGCGCATGCGTCACAGCTCACCGGTCACACTTGGAGACGAGGTCTCCATGGGGAGTGAGGGGCAGGTTCAGCCTGTCCCCCATCCCAGGCAGAGCCAAAACGGAGCCGCGGGAGGGGAGCAGGGCAGCGCGGGGCTCCCTGCGCCCGCTGCCCCGTGAGCCCCGTTTTGTGAGACGCAGCAGAAGCACAGAGCCCGATTTTGACTTCTCTGCGCGTGGGCACCAAGCAACTAACTAGGAGGCGCTGGCAAATGCGCCCGAGCAGGGTCCGGTGCAGGGGCCCGAGCAGGGGCCCGAGCAGGGTCCGGTGCAGGGTCCCGTGCAGGATCCCGTGCAGGGTCCGGTGCAGGGGCCTGTGCAGGGTCCCGTGCGGGGGTCTGAGCAGCTCTGCTTTCGTGCAAAGCCCCGGGACTCCGCCAAAGCATCCTCGGCAGCGGCGCCGCATCCCGGCCTTCTGGGGCTGCCCTTGCACTGCAGGGGGAAGGCAGAGCCGCCGGGGCGCGCGGAGCCGCCGGCTGATCCGCAGGGCTGCTGCGAGGGGGAAGCCGGAGCCGCGAGCCGCTTCTGCGGAGGCGCCGTGGAGCGGCCCTGGCCCCGGGCGGCTTTGAGGGGTCGATGGGGATCGCTCGGCGAGCGCCCTGCGCTGGAGCCGGGGAGCAGGGGGTCCCCGCAGCCCAACGGAGCAAGGGCCGTTTTCCTAAGCCGGGAGGGAGCTTGGCAGGGACRTTGGAGGCACCGAGGAACAGGGAGCATCTGGGTTTGCAGGCAAACCGCGCCTGCAAGAGCGACCCAGCAGCGCAGCCCGGGAAGTCATTTACCGCTCCGGAACGGTGCGTGCCCGCGGGAATTTCCCTATCGTTCCCTGGCAGAAAAACAGAGAGGAAAGAAAAAAAAAAAAAAAAATTATCAACCTAAAATTTGCAAAAAGCCCGAAACCCACCTGCCTCCTCGCCCCGCGCAGGCAGTGCCCTGCCCGGGGGGCTCCAGCGCCGTCCTGCGCCGAGCGGCGGC